TCAGTCCAAGCTGTGTCAGTCAGCAGTAACAGATTGGATGAGGGCAAACAAATTTCGGCTTAATCCAGATGGAGGTTTCCCTGGTCACTCAGGGTTGCACTCCCCCTGAAGGCAGGTTGGGTATATTTTTGGATTCAGACCTGAGTCTGTATGCCCAGGTCTTGGTGGTGGTCAGAAATGCATTTGTGCATTAAAACTAGTGCACCAGCTGTCTGATTTGGCCATGGTGACACATGCCTTAGTTTTATGTGGGGCGGCCTCTGAAAAGCATTTGGAAACTTCAGCTGATTCAGAGAACTGCTGCCAGACTGCTGACTGGGACTGGCTACCTCTGTTGAAGCGGCGTCGCTGGTTCCCAGTTTCCAGGCACAATTCAAAGTGATGGTGAGGCCCTGCACAGCTTGAGTCCAGGCTGCCTGAACGGTCACATATATGCCTGCATGGGCTGGAAGATCTTCTGGGGGGGGGGGGGGGGGGGTCCCACCACTTTCACAGGCACACGTGGTGGGGATGTGGGAAAGGGCTTTCTCAGTGACCTCCCAAAGGCTCTGGAATTCCCTTCCTAAGGAGACTAGGTTGGGACCTTCCCTGTTACCTTTTCAAAAGCTGACACAAATGCCAGCGTAAGAGACAGCATACGTTTTAAATAAAATAAAGATAAATAACCTTTCTGTTGCAGACTTTCGCGCTCAATTAGTATTACTCTTTATATAATTCGCATTGTTTTTAATCTGAGTATTAGTTCAATTTTAATACATAATCTGATGTAGTTATATTTTTAACTTTTATGTATTTTAAGGTTATGAATTGTAATGTTGTGAGCTGCCTTGAGAACCAATAACTGGAAATAGCCAGGATATAAATAACAACTTTTTCAGTTTGAGATTCCTATTTGAGAGTGGAGAGGGCTAATAATCACAGGACTATTGAGGTTTTACAACTTTTGTTGCTGTCCTTGTGTCCTTGTTGTCTTAGCTGTTATTGTTCTCTCTGCACATGTTTACAGGGTTGCCCCTTATCATTGATACTCTTATGAAAAACGGTTAAGGCTGAGGCCAAGATAAAAGACCTGCCAGAATGTGGGAGACTGAGCAAGCTGCGGAGAAGAATTGAGAACAGGACGCTTGGTCCTTGTTTTGGAAGAACATATGGTGACTTGCAGCATCATTGTATTGAACTTGTAAAGCATTCGCTTATGCTCCAAGGCAGAGCTTGCTGGAGAATATTAAATTGTGTATCTTCATGTTATTAAGATTAAGCACTGAAATAACATTAGAACAAGCAAAAAATCTTCCAGAGCTTCCATATTTTTCTGTGTAAAAGGCTTAGCTGAGAAACTGAGAACTGAGAAAAATCAATGCTTTATACTCTGGTGAGTTACTGACAGTTAATAGACCAGGGTGAGATGCTGGGGAGCTGGGCAGAGGCTACAAGTACACACATGCACAAACACACACTTTATCACCTTTTGTTTTGTACTGTGTTTTCGTACTATCAAATTTTGCAACATTTATATCAGCTTCACTTTTACTTCTGCAACTTCCCCCCATTCATCTTTTTTTTCCATTTACTATAGAAAGGAGTTCGGCAAGGCTGTGTATTGTCGCCCAGCCTATTTAACTTACATGCAGAGCACATCATGCAAAAGGTGGGGCTAGATGAATCACCAGCTGGAATTAAGATTGCTGGGAGAAATATCAACAACCTCAGATATGCAGATGATACCACTCTAACAGCAGAAAGTGAAGAGGAACTAAAGAGCCTCTTGATGCAGGTGAAGGAGGAGAACACAAAAGTTGGCTTGAAACTCAACATTAAGAAAACTAAGATCATGGCATCCGGTCCTCTCACTTCCTGGCAAATAGATGGGGAAGAAATGGAGGTAGTGACAGATTTCATTTTCCTGGGCTCCAAGATCACCACAGACAGGGACTGCAGCCAAGAATTAAAAGACGCTTGCTCCTGGGGAGGAAAGCTATGGCAAATCTAGACAGCATACTAAAAAGCAGAGACATCACCCTGCCAACAAGTGTGTGTATAGTCAAGGCTATGGTTTTCCCAGTGGCAATGTATAGCTGTGAAAACTGGACCATAAGGAAGGCTGAGCACCAAAGAATTGAGGCCTTTGGTGCTGGAGGAGACTCCTGTGAGTTTCTTGGACTGCAAGGCACTCAAACTGGTCAGTCCTAGAGGAGATCAACCATGACTGCTCTTTAGAAGGCTAGATCCTGAAGATGTAACTCAAATACTTTGGCCACCTTATGAGAAGGAAGGACTCCCTGGAGAAGAGCCTAATGCTGGGGACAATAGATGGCAAAAGAAGAAGGGGACGGCAGAGAATGAGGTGGCTAGATGAAGACACTTAGGCAGTGGATGTGAGCTTAAGTGGACTCTGAGGGATGGTGGAGGGCAGGAAGGCCTGGAGTAATGTTGTCCATGGGGTCGCGATGGGTCGGACACGACTTCGCAACTAACAACAACAAATATAAATTTTGCTCTGTGACTGTCATTCAAAGTAAATGCAACAGTACTACCAGGCAGTTCTATGCTGCCAAAGGCATTCTCTGGCATTAGAGTCCTGTGAAAGCCTGGGCCCGAATATCTCCCCATGAATGGTTGAGCTTCTAGTATTTTCTCTGTGACTTCAGTGGTTTTCCTGGGCAAAGGCAGAAGGGAGAAGAGCAATAGTTGTTGAGTGGGGATGAGAGAGGCCACTAAAGACTTATGGCTGAAATGTATTTGGTTATGATTATGTTTCCTCTTTATTACTGAACAATATGATATCTGTTTTAGTTTGAAAATAAAAAGTTAATTATTCAAAAACATTATGTTTGCTAATGCAATCTATATATTCCTTCCAAAAATAATAAATTCAAGTTTTGAAATGCAAGGTTCAATTAAAAGAAGTGGTATTTGGATTCCCATGTGCACTTTTCAGTTAACTGCAATTTACATAAATATTGCGGCGGGGGGATCTTGACACTCTTAAGAATGTGGGAATGAGTGGGTGGGCCACCAGCCAAGTAAGTGAGAAAGCATCTAGCCAGCTGGTTGGCCAAGCAGGTTGAGTGGTCTGCCACCTGTTGTAAGAATTGGCAGCACACAAGACACCCAGCAGGGTATTCTAGAGTCCTGCCAGTTGCTCCTTTGCTGTGGCAAATGCCCAGCAGGATAGTGGCTCTCCAGAGCATTCATTGGAGAAGATGGAGAAGTAGTGGCAAGCCCTGGTTGCCAGGAGGAAGGTGATGCAATTTGCTGCTCTGCCATCTCATGTGGGAACATGAGCCTAAACATACACAGTAGGGCCAGTCCTAAGAACCAAACGCAAACAGCCAATTAAACTTTAAAACAGACTAAAACTTGCTCAGTTAAACCAGGAAAGCTTATTAAAATATATTTAAAAACTGTCACCTACATGATAAGCAGTTAGTTCCTGTGTGAACAACTTTGTGGATGGAATTCCATAAGCAGGACACCTCCATCAAGAAAGCACTGTACCTTGTAGATGATCTTCATAACTTTCCTGGAATAGGTAGATGGAAAAATGTCTGAACAGATACCTTAAACAGACAGGCTGATAAGGGAATAAGCACTTGGATCCCAAAGTGCTTTAGGACTTTAAAAAGGTAAAAACCAGCCTTGAACCAGAAGTAAATCGTCAGCCAAAGAAGTTCTTTTAAAATAGGTTGATACGGATGAATCAGGCCATGCTGCTCAGAATTCTGGCAGCTGAAGCTTCCAAACTATCTTCAAGAACAGCCCACATATGAAGTATTTGCCCTAATTCCATCTGAAGGTTACATAAAATGGATCAATCTGACCAGACTCTCTCTTTTGAGACATAGTTGAAACTGGCAAAGTAGCAGGATCCCAGCCAATGGGGGATCATATACAGTGGAACCTTGGCTCACAAACTTAATCTGTTCCAGGTCTGAGGTCGTGACCCAAACTGGTTGTGAGCCAAGTTAAATATCCCCATAAGGTTCAATGTAAATAAGGTTAATCTGTTCTATAACCAATTTTTTTTAATCAGAAAAATGTGAAGCAAAGTGACAAATAACAACAAAGATGGCAGGCATCTCCCCCACCCCACCCCGAGCGCGGCCATTTCCCCGCCCCACCCCAGCATGACCGAGATCGCTCCTGTCATCCCGGTGCGAGACGGTCGTGCTGGGATGACGGGCACGATCTTGGCCATCTCCCCCGCCAGCACAATCGCAGCAATTTCCCCACTCGGGGGTGAGGAGATGGCTGCAATTGTGCTGATTGTGGGGGGGAGATGGCCAAGATTGCGCCTGTCTTTCCTGCAGGAGCGTGCCTGTGATCATGCACATCCTCCCTGCACGAACACAATTGCGATCGTGGCCATCTCCCCACTCGGGGGTGGGGAGATGGCTGCGATCTTGGTCGCCACCCAATGCTGAGTTCACGACCCACGTCAACATTTTCATGAATTTTTTGTTCGCGACCCAATTTGGTCATGAACCAAGGCATTCAAGAGCCGAGGTACCACTGTAGTGATCATGATGGCATGACAGTGCCATAGAAATTATCAGATTTTGCTACAAAACTGAATTATTGAGAACAAAACCACTTCTTTGCCCTCAAAACTTATTATGACAGAGTGAACATCTCCATTGCCAAGATCACCACAGGGACATTTGACAACAGGGACATATGACAACAGGGACATTTTCCTTGTTTCATCAGACTACATTAGTTTGCAAGTCTTCATAATAGCAAAGCCCATTCTGCAGCTTGGCTCACCAATACTAAATCAGATCAGAACATTACTAATATTTTGATAAAAAATCTTAATTTTTAGCAGTTTTTTCTATTTGTAAATTATATGACTGTATATGCCACCATTGTTCAAATTTTACAGGCTAGAATCATATTATTTCTTGCAGTTAGTTATACAACCATTTGCCTCATAAATCACATCCTTATTATTTCATTGCTAAACATTAAAGCACATAAGATATTTCCATATTCAGAACTTGTATGTTAGTAATTTAATATTTCATGTTTTTCTTTAAAGATATTTATTAAAGGATGCATAATTACAAACAAATCCATCTGCTATGGTACCATTGCTCTCCACATTCATTACAAATTACGTAAGTCATCATTTGCTCATCTGGATTTGTATTTCGCACCCAACCAGGGAGGAAAAGAGCTCCCCTGGCAATCACAGTAACAGTGCAATCAAATTTTTCACAGCGCCTGCATTTTATTTTATTTGTATGTGTACCATTGATACTTTCGGGAAGCTGATGTTCTAGAACAGATGATTCTGTATACGAAGCCCTGAGCTGTTTCAGCTCATCATGTGCCATTTCTAGGACAGACATATTAGCAAATGTCTTAGGGCTAAGAATTCCTGTAATCAGGTTATGCTTTAATTGACAGTTTTTTGGATTCTTCAAGTTGGAAATTTTGCTTCGGATGCAATTCTTATATTTTCTATCAGTTTTGGTATGAAGTGCAAAAATGCATTGTTCAATTTCTTCTGCTATTTTGTGATACTTTTCACTTTCTTCATTACTTGTTGAAGAATCTACCAAAGCTTCATAAAGAAGTTCTGAGCATTTAAACCTCACAGCGGCAGTGTGATCTTCAGATGGGCTGGCACTAACAGAGCTAGAATGCCCCAGAAGTGCTGGCTGAATTGTATCATGTTTTTGCACATTACTTCCAAGAACTTTTAGATTGATCTCTGAAGGCAAGCAACTGTTGGAACTAGCAGGACCCAATTCTTCATTCTGATTCAATGTTTTGGAAGGGTTTACATCCTCCAAGTCTGTCTGAAGTTGATCAGAATTCCCTTTTGCATCATCAGACAACACGGGTTTAACTTGTATTGGTTGATCATAATGATTCTTATAAAGTTTTTTCCACTTTGACAGCAAATGTTTTGCCTTATTTTTCAGGACCACAGAAGGACAGTTTTTGAGAATTCTGTACACAGCTTTGGCAATATCAGTCTCCTGAAGATATTCTATGGTCATGACAATAGTTTCAAGATATGCAAGATGACTTTCAATATCTTGATAGTTTTTTTCAGACAGTAGATTCTCTATACAATTAGCTCTAGTCATGATAACCTTTCTGTTGGACATTTCAAATCCTAAAACAAAAGTATCAGAGTCATTTTTTTCCTATAGCCACTATACAGTTTTGTAGTAAGGGCAGAAGCGTAAGAGATTCAGTACATATAAGTCAAGTGATCACACAGGTACCTTTTCAAATAATATTCTATAAAATAATCAATCTACATATTGAATGCAAAACAGATATAATAGTCATTACATTCTTTGCATATCCCTAAAGCTTAACATATCTGGAGCCCTTGTTAGGCCAAACGGCAGAATATAAATCTTTAAAATACAGACCATAAAATAAGGCTGTAACCCCAAACCCACATAGTAGGGAGTAGGCCCACTGAATTTATCAGCTTATCTCTAAGTAAACATGCATAGGTTTGGGCTGCAACTTATGTAATTATAAAGTATATAATTCTGCACTGTGGTACATTTTAAAGCCAGAATGCTCTTTCAGCATAGCTGAAAAATGGCACATAGATTCTGTGTGCCAAGCACAGAACTGAATCCAAGAGCATCACTTAGCTTGTAGGCATAGAACAAAGGAGGTGCAATAGACTTTGCTTGGCATCAAGAACAGAGGGCAGCAAAAGATATATTAGGAGCCATTGATTCTTCCAAGGCTGCATCCTATTCATATTAATAAGGAATCCCAGGGCTCTTAAGTTATTAGAGCCCACAGTTTGCAGAATGCTTAATTTCACATATCTGTCTGCAGCAAAGTGAATAATCATGAAAGTTTTTCCCAGACTACTAACAGAGTGTCCGCTGAATAATCTAAAAGGAAAGCCAATTGCTTTGCTACACTTGGAGAAGATAATGTTTTTCGAGCCCCCTCACATTAAGAAATGGTACAGGTTGGTCTTTTCCAACCTGGTGTCCTTGAGCCGTGCTGAGCTTCAACTTGCTGGAAGTTGCCAGCATTTTTCCCGTGCACTGGACTGCACGAGAAACCACACTAGGGAAACCGATTTCCCTGTTAGAGAAGGCGAGACTTTGAGGCGCATCATGTAGGGTTTTCTGCTTGGGGCTTTGCTCCTGGAAGAAATAATGGAAACAGGGTTTCCGAGCTTCCCACCAGCTGAAGCCCACCAGATGCGATTTCCACCCTCGCTGCATCTCCCTGCTCTCCTGCTATTGTGGCAGCAGCGGCAGCAGTTAAACCGGAAGATCTTGCCACGCACACAGCTATTCGGCAACCCTGCATTATCTTTGCAGAGGGAGGGAGAGGGGGCAACCCTGACACGGGTCGGGCCTCATTCCGCCGGGGCGAAGAAAGAAGGCATGGAGCCACCTCAAGCAGAAAATAGGCTGGGAAGGGATGGACCCTGCCCCACCTCCCTTTCTCGTTTATGTGCCGGTACCTGGCAGCGCCCGGCCCGGCCCGCTCACCTGGCCCGGCCCGCTCACTTAATTTCGGCCTTCCGCTCGGACAGCCAGAGCGCGGCCCCGCCCTGCGAAGGCGGTGCTTGCTGCTGCGTGCGCGCTCCCGCTATCGACTCCGGGGTGCGCGCCTTGCAGCTGCTGGAATTGAGCCTTTGATCCGGGGCTGAGCGCGACTTGCCTGCTGCAGCGCGAAGCCTTCCTAGTGTATATGGCTGCTCAGGAGTGAGCTTCACGGACTTCGGGGCTTCCTCAGGCAAAACTGGGCATGCATTGCTGGAGGAACAAAGCCTGCAGCGTCTTTTAGCAGAGCATGATGGTCTCTCTCTCTTTTTTCCTTTGTTTTTTCCCGGAGATCTCTTGTCCACGCTGGGCTGGGGATGCTCGGAGTTGAGGTCAGCACATCTGGAGAGCACCAGGCTGGGAACGGCTGCTCCAGTCAGAGGCAGAGTCCTTTCACCTTGGCTTTTAACTTTTGAATTAACTAAATGATAGAAGGGAGCTGTATGGCTAATGGGGTGGCTTAGAAAACAAACAAACAAATAAATAAAATTGACCCTCCCCCACTCGGTCCTCCAAAGAACTCTCACTGCAGCTTCCAGGTTAGAACCCCAAAATACCAAAAATAAATTCAAGCGCTATGAATATCTAGTTAGAAACAAGCCCCATTGTTTGGGGCTGCAAACTTTACATGGTAACCTGGCAGCAGAATTCACTGGGGTCTATTTCTGAGTAAAAACACACAGGCTTGCACTGGAAAAAATATATTGTACAAGAAAGACAGCAACTAGGTAAGTTCAAAACTACCGTGTCACAGCTCATGTTAAAATGAAATAATTTGGTTTTTTAAAGGATGTACAGCTGTTAAAAATATAATCTCTCCCTGCCCCCCCCAAAGAAACACGTGTAAAATCATACATTTCCACTAAATGGACTTCAAAATTAATTTCTTTATCTCAGTTCAATAAATTATTAAAAACTATTATATAAGTAGCATAGACACAAAAATCAATAATAAGAAAAACCCTATATATTTAGTGTAATATCTTTATGAGTCCAACCAAAAGCTCAACCAAAATATGCAAGATCTTTTCATCAGGCAAAATGTTACAAAAATCAAGAGAAGGGGCTTTCCTATCTCTCCTCCTCAGCTTTTTATAATCTCTTGCCCGATGAAGAGATCAAGAGATTTTGAAAGCTTGCACATTTTCTCTGAACTTTTGGTTGGTCTCATAAAGTTATTGGACTAAGACAGATTTTGGAATCATATACTGCAGGGCTTTTTTTGTCATTGAACACACTGGAACGGTGTTCCGGCACCTTTTTTTGATGGATTTTTCCACATGAATTTGAATCGCCCTGTCAGGAGTAGCAGGTCGGTGGCAAAATCATTAAAATGGTGCATGTGGGCTGCTTGTGTGTCCGCGCTGGTTGTGATGGTGCTGCTCGACTTGTGATGCTGCTCGGCTTGTGACTGGTTGTGTGGTCGCGCGCTGAGTGCTTACTGCAGGCAGCGACCGTTATGTTTCATTACACAGTGTTAGTGTGTGTAGAGTGACTGGTTATGTACAAAAGGTAAATAATTTCTTTATTTTAAAAAAAAGTTGGTGAATTGAACATCTTTTTTTAATTTTTAGTGTAAAAGTGTGACCCCAAATTTAAAAATGAAAAACATTACTAATTCTCAACCACCAATTCTGCTAATAAAAAGGCCAGAATATTAAGAACTGAATATATAATTTTTTAAATAAAAGATTAACAAGATGTGAGTTCTGGCACCTTATTTATTTATTTTTTAACAAAAAAAGCACTGATATACTGTATTAGTGTATGCATATTATTTTGAAACTCTGCTGCCCTCTGCTGATGTACTGTGCATGATTTAGAACAACTCCAGCTTGAGGTTCCTTTAGAATAAGTAGAATTTCAAATTGTTATTAAATATATATGGAAGCTCTTGTTTTGCTACAATTTGTACATGTGCTTCATTGTATCATATCAACTTAAAAGATACAATGAAAAATCCTATTCCTGAAGGATAAAGGGAAATAAATTCCTCCAAGGCATTTGAGTCAAAACACTCTGTATGTGATCCAATTAATGTATGTTTCTTCTTAAGGGCTCTACCCTTAACGGTAGCCTAAAAATCATTAAAAAAATAAAAAATAGACATCTCAAATCCAATTCAGATAATTAAATTACAAACAGGATTGCATATGGCAGCCAGCAAGGGCTATCCACTCAGCCATTTCTTCCTCCACCTCCTATATGACACAAACAGCAAATTTAGCTGCACAATTGCTTCCTGCTTTCACAGTGTGCAACCCAGTGCAACTGTTTCCTTACTGTCTGCTTATGATTATGAGCTCTTTAAAGTAACCATGTATTTAGGCGAGACTAGTCCTATAGTCCCTTGGCAAGTATAAGAAGGGCAGTAGGATGGTTAAGATTCTTCTTTCCAATGGCTAAGACAGTGCTCTGACCTTGGCAGAGATGCCTGGAGATCTTACTCACATCATTGCCTTCATGGAGAGACCCAAGGTGGTGCCCTCTCAGAAGCTGGAAGTTGGAGATGGGGGCAAGGGGGTTTTTCCAGTGGGTGAGGTGGGGAGGAGGCGGGAAAGGCAAGGGTCTGATTTATTCTAAGCCTTGTCCAACTTCCTTCCTTTCCCCTCTGAAGTACCATTGCTACAAAGAGTAGTGAAAAGTAGTACAAAAAGTGGGGAGACCAAGCTCACACCCTGTTAGCTTCTGAATTTGGAGACTTCTGATCAAAGAAAGCACAGTTGATAGGACTGCATTCTTCAAAGGAAAGGATTGCCTTTTCAAAGGAAAAGCAACTGCTTTTAAAATATGGGTATATGTTGCAGCCAAATATGTGTTACTGCATTTTATTTACTTGTGTAGTTACGATATTCATATTGCACCTTATGTAGTTATGATATTCATATCCCACAAGGAATCTAAGGCAACTTGCACAATCCTATATCCCTTTCCCATTTTTTCTCACAATAACCTTGTGAGATAGGGTTCAGCTGAGAGTCAGTGACTTGCCTACAGTCACCCAATAAGTGGGGACTAAAACTCCTATCTCCTGAGTACTCTAAATTCTATGCCATAGTGGATCCTGAAATATGGCACAGGAGTTGAGAGAAGGGCAGGGCATTTATCCTAAAATGTGTTAGCTTTTCCATGCTGTTCGCCTAAAAATGTTGTACCACAGTGTCAGGCATGGCCCAAGTCCTGCTGCTGCCTGAAGCAAAGGCCAAAGTGGAGCTCTCTTTCACTGCAGATACAGAAAGCAACTAGACTGGCAGTTGAACCTTACTTCAGCCTGGAAACAGGATTGTGTCATCTGCTGCATCTCAGGAAAGCTGGGTACTTTAGGAGGCTCTGAGGCAGACACTGCTCTGAACCCCTAAGAGAGCAGAATGGGACACCTCCACTGCTGCCTCCTTCACCCTGCCTCCTAAGGCTGCTTGATGACGGGTCCATTATAGTGTTATAGGACTGGGAGCTGGACTAGGTAAACTCTTGGCATGCCGTCCAACTTGGTGGTCACTGCCTCCAGCAGAGAGGTTGGGCTTGAAACCCGCCATCATCTGATCAAGTCCATCCTAATGTTAAATAAACTAGGCATGTAATCCTATACATGAAAAATGCAATCCTATACACAGGAAAAAGTTCTACCTACTAGCTGAAGTGTATGCTGGAAGTTGTATAATTTTCTTCTGACTAAATATGTATAGGGTTCCACCCTAAATGGATAATTTGTCCCAAACCCCCTCCTTAAGGAAATCGGTTTTAACAAAGTCTGTGGAATCAGCCAGGGAAAGGTGCATATCTCTTCCTTCACTGGGGATAAGTATGACCGGTCTGTGCCACCTATTTATCTGTAAATATGCAAATACTATGAAATGTCATATGTATCCAGTAACCTTATTCCAGAGGGAAGCAGCCCTGAGTAATACTGCATTTGTGGCATTCTTACCATGTGAAGACTTGAGTAACAATACTGATGCTTTGTACTGAAGCATTAGTACAATTTGCATGGTTTCTGAGAAAAACACAAGAGGGCAGCATTGGGTCTGTTAAGCAATGGATCCGATAGAGTCTATGCCAAACATTTCTCACGCTGTTTTTCGCCCCAGCCATTCTCGTTCAGTTTGATAGAACAGCAATTGCTCTCAGAAAGAAACCCAAAGAAGAAGAAGAAAGTGTAGAAGTTCTCATCACCTGGGTTCAGGTTTCTTGTGACTTAGAAGGGGTAAAGAGGTACAAATGAAAGCCCTGTCCTTATCTCTTGAGTAACCTGTAGCCTCCCCAGCTTCCCACACTTCATAATGGCTCCCATAGTGGTTCAACTTCAAGCTGAATTTCAGGGAAGATACCACGAGGTAATTCTTTGCATAGGGCTTGTTCAGATCAGGAAGTGCAGGCAGCCTGCAATGCTGCAATGCACAGACACATAACAGAAAACACACACATGCATACTCTGCCACCTTGCAGTGATTAGGAAAGCTCAGAAACATCACAAAAATAAATGAAAGGACACCCTGAGAATAAGGCACCCAATCCTCTTTCATGCAGAACGAAAAGTTTCAGGAAATTGCAGGACAGCTTTTGGCCAACAATAGCAACACCTCTTCGCTGGTCCCAACATTGCTCCTCTCACCTTTACATTGGGGTGAGTGCAAAGTGGAGACCAGTCTCTGGAGGCCAGTTGATGCAGTGGCTCTACCTGCAGTGGCAGTAAATGCACATGAACAAGAAAACCCCTTGAGGAAAAGAAATGAGGCTGAGCTGCAATTCCTTTCAATGGTGAACCCTATTTGTTGATAATTTCTCCTTCCCTTGAGAAAATTGGTGAAATCTGCACCTTCCTCTCCAATTTCTCTGCCCACAAATAGCATGTGCACAGTGCTAATGTATGCTTATAGCAAGTTCATTTTCCAAGTGTGAATCCTTACATAATTTTAAGGACATTTTAAAAGATTTTTCCATTATGTTTTATTGTTGAATTTCATGGGTTTATTCTTTGTGAGCTGTCCCAAAAGTTCCAGCTGTTGATTAGTACATATATGTAAAACTGGAATGATACCATCCAAAGACATGATGGAGATGTTCAGTCTCCCAGACCCTTGAGACTGGCAGCAGAACCAAACAGATTGGAAAGTAACCTAGTATAAGATTACTGTGCCTCGAAACCCATCTCTTTCTTTCTCCTTCTTGAATTAAGCCTTGGCAAAACTAACTCTGGCACCCCTGCTACAATGGCAGTGTGGTATCTGGAATAAAAATCCAAATGGGCAGTTATAAAGGATTAAGACTATATTGCTATACTGTTATATAATATTCAAGCATTGATACTCTTGCCCACTGCTTCTGTAGCATGGTAAAATAGCCCATGAACAATCCATGGTTCTAGGTTCACATACAACAGCAACCTGTGGCTCAAATAACCCAGAAATTACAACCCATGGATTCAGTGAATCCCATGAAGCAGGAAATAGGGAATCCTGGATTTCTAGACTGCTTGAAAACATTGGACTGTAGAGTTACTTACTGATACAGATGACTGAGAATCAGTTGGATCAGAGTAGAAATGTAGAAGCCAATAATAACTGGAAAGCAAAACTAACCTAGGAAGTACAGGGGCAGCAGGGCAGGGGTTGTTGTGTGGATTTCTCTCCCTGTTAATCTTAATGATCTCCATATTGAAATGTCCTTGGGGTATGTAGTCTATCAATTGACCAATATTGTGTCCCTTAATCCTTCCCTCAAATAAGACAACAGAAAGAAGGATATAGTTTCTTGGCAGAGTCATCTGTTTCCCAAATCAAGCAGACATTAGCCAGATAAAACATCTGTGCATCTCACAGTTGAGAGGAAAGTAAATCACTAAGAAGACAGTAAAATGACTTTTTGCCATCATCTCACATTCTCTCAGGAGTCTTTCTTCCCCTTTGCTTGCAATACTAGTTGGATAGGCTTTAACTGTAGTATAGGCATGTCCTCCAAACTCAAGAAGCAGGCATCTTCTTTATTTATGTGGTGCAGTTGCAACACAATGGGGCCTCAATAGATTCATCACCAACAATTAGGCCTTAATTACCCACTATGTTGGGTGTCAGCCAAGACAGAACAATAAAAATCAAACATCCTATCTGGGACAGAGGGAAAAGCAAGAAACAGCAAAAGGACCCTGGACCAAACAAAGGCACTGTTGACTGGAGTTTCTATAGTTCCTTTACTCCAGGTGCCTTCTAGTCTCTTGGTTTCTCTAGGATGCTTTCACCTTTTACTGGCCTATGCTCTACACCTCCATTTCCTTCCTGCTTTTCCAAAAATCAAATGGGTTGGATCTAAAGGAGCCAAAGGAAACTAGCTACCCGCACTGCTCCACAAATGAATGTGTGAGAGAGACTTTTTTCTGTAAAAGTTATTGTACAATATCCACTCCCATTCTTCTGGAAGAATTTACAAAAGCAGCACATCTCGGGATTTCATTGTAGTTTCACTGTGAATTCTACTCATGTGAGGTGCAGGACAGGGCAAAAAGAGGGGGGCATGCTTCTACATGCAGAAGGAAACCTTTTGATAATACTCAACAGGGTGCCACCAATTCCATTCTGCAAACAAGACGCTTGTGCAATAGAGATTTATCACTTCCAGGAGTAAGTGGAAATGTTAGTTTCTGGAATGGAGCAGGTCAGCTGAGCTTACATGAGAGAAGTGCTGATTATTATGCAAGAAAGGGGGTTCCACTCGTGCAGTTCCACTCGTGAGTTCCACTCATGCAGTAGGTGGGAAGGGCTACTTGTCCAGTACATTAAACAGTAAAACTAGCTACAAGCACACATGACCTCATCTACTGGGAAGAAGATTGGACTTTTCCTGCTATTATAACTCAGTTCCTTGATTTGCAGCATTAAATTGGGAGTCACGGAGTGGGAGGCTACTTTGCTTATATGACAATGGTTACCTGGTTTGGGTGAAGAGAACCTGGCAGTAAAGCAGGGGTGATGATAATCATGATCACTGCACAGCTGGGGAGCAAAGCAAACCCAGATTTAGCAAGCCTGTAACGAGGTTAACTGTCCTGTGTTTTGAAAAGGCAGGACAATGAGGTGAGTGGAGAGCAAGCTCACTTTCCTCTAGTTTATTCCCAGCCTTGGCTATGAGACTGAGAATCTGACTTCTGTACCAGGCCAATGTGACTGTTATTAGAGAAGCTAATAGATGGACTACTTCCATAGCAGGCAGAGGGAAGAGCATGATACTGTTTAAGTTGTATGTATTAATATCCAATATACTACACTAGAGGGCATAAATAGTGGTGCAAATCCAACCTTTCGTAACAATTTTTATGCATGAATACACTCTCTTGCATTCGTCTGTAGAATATGACTATAATTGTAATTTAAAGCAGATAAATATGCATAGATCACACACAAATACATAAAAAGGACTGATATTTTCAAGTTTAGAATTAATATCATGTACAGTTCAGTTGCTGGGAAAATCATTTGAACGTTTAAAATAATTCAGCGCTAGTGTCCTTATCACTTATTTTGTTAGTCACAGATGTTCATGGAAAAGGATGATAGCAAAAGAAAACATTCGTCAAAAGCACTTTTGTCTTCAGTTTAGAAGAGAACAGTCTCTCCAGTATTTTTTTTTCTGGAGAAATGTTATCAAACAAATGATGAATATATGCACAGCAAGAGAGAACAAACTTTGCTTTTCCCAGACACATTCACTGTAGATACATGTGCCTACATTCCAATACAAAGTGAGGCACTTTCAAGCCCAATGCTGCCAATAGCTTTAGGTATGCTTAATTCCCTATTGATTTCCTGTTGGACTGTGGCCTTCATTTTTAAAATTATGATGCACACACACACGACTACACTGAGTCTGATTCCAGGATCTGTGAATAAGGAGTCATATGCAGAATTTCTGGAGAACACATGCTTCCCTCTTTCATGCAATGAATGTTGACACCTGAAGAAAGGGGGAAGACCTTGTTCATCAAAACCTGTATTCCATACATCTATGGAAGCACTATAATGGGGAAATATATATAAGCTGACTTGCATGGACCCATATTTACATCTTCAAAGTTGGCAATGGATGCCCAACACTGGGTATCACAATCTTTGCTTGAATTACTTCAGGACTGGTTTCTTGCCTCACATTTTGCTGACATTTACATGAGCGAAAATTTAATTTTCTTCAAGATCAGAAAGGTAAGGTTTTATTCATTTAGAGAAGTGAACTACCTCAGTCATGTCTGTATGAAATGGCATTCTCTATAGTTATATCTGGATTTATAAAGAAAACAGATTCAGACTATCCAACATATTTGTTTTGGGAAAACATGGCAAACCAATATAAAACTACAGTTTTAAGAAGAAAGATGGTCACAGTCTATGATTATTGGGCTCTGAGAGCCTCTGACATTTGTGTGAGGAAACACGTAAAGCACCATGAGGAAAATACTCATCAGGTGACGACAGCAGATCCTTGCCATGCCTCTGTGATAAATAATTTGAGTCTTTAAATTTCTGTTATTTTACAGCACATTAGTGCTCACCCCACCCTGCCAAAATTCACTGACCACGGAAAAAATCCCAGTGGCAGTGGCTTGCACCAAAAAGACTAAATAATGCCAACTCAAGTTTGCTTCCCAATCTATTTTTCCTCTAGTTTCAGTGAGAGCTGTAAGGGTATGGCCTCGGAGGGGTCTGTTAAGTAGAAATTGGGTGCCAGCCCCCACAAAAGGTCCACCCAGGTTTACAGTCTACATTTTTCTCTAACTTTACCAAAGTTTACTGTAGAACAGGTAGAACTATGGGATAATTGGGAACAAGGAAGATTCCATGGTGAGTGAGATGGGAATCTGTAATGGTTCTCCCAGTCCAGACCTCTCTGCAGCTGTTGGAATGGTTCTGGATAGATAAAAGGTTGAGCGTCATATCTTGCTGAACTGAAGTGTAACACTTCTATCATGCGTTCCCAGGTGTCTCCTTCCCACATTTTACATATTCACTGCAACTCTCTCCAGTCATACACTAGTATATCCATAACTCTGTGCTAAGTGTGATGGCCCTAAATGTTAGTGGACATGATACCTCCTTTCCAAGACCTTGGTTCATACTCCTGAAGAAGAACTTTGAGAACATATAACAACAAGAGTTTGCTTTTCTTTATGGAAAATAAAGCACATTCATTGCCAAATGGCTAAACAAATATTTTCACATTATAGAAGACCCTGACCCCAAATGATATAATACAGAAAAGTTACATATAAAAAGTATAGCTTTTTTATACAGGTGTGTTACCTTACACATGTTTTAGACCTGTCTGTTTTCCTGTCTGCACTGGAGTTCATAGTGTTATTTATACATCTGCATTTGTCCTAGGCCATATTAGGTTACACAAAATTCTGTATTAGCACAACAATTAATATTATAGCAAATAAAACAAGAAGTCAGATATCCAATGTCAAGTGATCTTCAGGACAAAGACTAGAAAACAGGACAACAGTGCCCACTCCAATTTCTCCAGTTCTACCTTTCCCACGTTCTGCTTCAAAGGTGACCTGATAAAATGGAAGGGAAAACTGTCAAAAAAAAAAAAAAAAAGATGCCAATAGTAAACAGGTACTGGATGCTCATAAATTTGAAGCCTCATCAGCCATGCTATCTGCACATTATTACAATTGTTAATTGAGGGATTAATTTAGGGGGTAATCCTATGCATATTAAGACATTTTAAAAGTCCTATAACTCCCAGCATCCCTCTAGTCACTCATGCTTGCTGGGCCATGCTGGAGATGCAGGATGTTTTATGTCCAAATATACATAGGATTGCACTTTAAATCCATAAAATACCTTGCCATCACTTGAAGTCCCCTTGCACTAGAATATTGTAAATCACTCTCTAGTTTGAAGATAAGAAGTTTTAATGGACTCCTCTCTTAATAACAGCTAGAACTGGCTAAAGGTCTTCTCCTTACCTTTGCAGGACTTTTATCCTTCAGAGAATTCCTCTTATCTTTACAGACTTTCCATGAAGACTGCAAACTTTTGCAGCTGATGGTGGATGTCCAATTTAAAAGGTGGCCCACTGATCTCCCCTGCCCCCCATTCACTCAGCATGAGCAAAGGTGTCAGCCATCTCTCTACCCCGCAAAAACAAAGTATATAACCTTGTGAGAGTCACTTATAAGGAGTTTTCAGAGCACCATCAACCACTAATGAACACAGTGGTTTGCTTCTTTGTTTTTTTAAATTTAAAATTAAAAGACATTAAAATTAAAAAAACATAAAGACCAGCTCGACATCTCATAACAGCATAAGCATCCCCTACACTTAAAGATCTCCCTCCACAAATGGAATGGTTGGCTCCCTATCCCAACCTTAAGGTGGGTTTTCACCCTTCTGATGCCCCATCCAAAGACCAAGATATTCAGATATTCAGTTGTATAAAACAAACAGTCTAAAACACAGAAAAACAAAGTTCACAGCTGGGCAATCACTTATTAGAACCAAGCAAGATTCTAAAAAATGCAAGTTCCTAAAGTGGCAGGCTCCACAAATTCTTCTTGCCTTTGCTCCATTTCATGTACTCTGACCATACAGCCTAGTCACCAAATACATTCCATTCCAAGTGGTTACTCAATTTTCAGTAATCTATTTATCCTTGAAGTCTTGAACCCACTACACAGAAACCAGGTCGTTAAAGAACAGTCCTGCTGGATCAGACCAAAGATCATTTAGTCCAGCATTGTGCTTCCCACCGTGACAAAGTAAATGTCATTGGGAACTCTGCGTGGAGGATTTGAAGGCCAGTATTCAGCAGCTAGTGTTAAGGAGCATGCTGGCATCATGAAAAGCAGTCTCCTGTCCTTAGCAGCCACGGAGGAGTACCCTGCATGAAAAGCAGTTAGTTTTCCCTGTCATTAATCACAGTGTAGTGCTTAGCCTTAGACTTACATTCATTGCTGTTTCAGCTGCTGTGCGTATTTCAATTTGTCCAGTTTTCCACCATTCATCTTCTCCCATGTTCTGTTCCCAGGAAGGACTACTACCATTGCTGCCTAGGGTTACCCGTAGCTTCCCTACCCTTTCTCCTGCAAGTCGGTAACTAAAAATCAAACAATATATGCTCCTTGGCTTGAGGTCTGTGAGAAGAAGCTTCAAACGACCAACATCTTTCTTGTGTCCCATGAAGGCGGGTACTGTCATATAATATCCATCACCTAGAGACATATATGGGGATTTAGGAAGAGAGCAGCAGAATGTTATTTTTGATTCAACCTGAATAACGATAACCTGCAACAGGACAGGGGTGAGCAATGTGGTTCCAGCCCCAGATGTTTTGGCCTACAACTCCCATCAATTCTAGCCAGCATTGCCAATGGAGGTATATGGAGGGCCAAAAATTGTTCGCCCAAGGCATAGGGGAAGGGCCATAGTTCAGTGACAGAACTTGTACTCCCTGTGCTGAAAATCCCAAGTCCAATCCATGGTATCTCCAGTTAAAAAGGATCAGTAGGTGATGGAAAAGACCACTGCCTAAGACCCCGGATAATTGCCGCTAGTGAGAACAAGCAATTGTGGGCTAGGAGGATGAACAATCTGGCCTACTACCTGAAAGTTTTCTATTTCGAAAGGATGTCTTATTGTTACAAACATTTATTCAGTCCCATAAGAATATGATATCCAGTGAGTAAGACAGTCTTCTTCTGAAGTGTCAAGAAGCTTTTCATGTGGAAGAACATTTTAAAAAACACCTTCCATCCAAGAGGTGCAGTCTAGAATTCTGCTTCAGTCTTCCTCCTCTTTCTGCAACTATCTTACATTTAAACCACCTCCAGTTTCTATCCATTGATCCCTCCTCATGAATGGAACAGGCATTCTTTCTCTCTCTCTCTTATAATTAATTATAATTGCATTGCATTTATGGCTCTCATTTTCCCCTCTTGTGAGGAACCCAAGGTGGTTTACATAGTACTCCTCCATTCCATTTTTATCCTCACAACAGCAACCTTGTGAGGTTGGTTATGCTGAGAGTCTGTGAGTGGCTGGAAGTCACCCAATGGATTAATAGCCAAGTGTGAACTAGAACCCAGATCTCCCAGGTTCCCAGTTCAACACTCTACCCTCCACACCACAGAGCTACTACTAAAGCTGTTGTTGTTCTTGCTACCTACAATGGGCCATATTTTCAAAATGTGGTTTACAAGAAAATGAAAAACACATTAAAATATGATATACAATGAAATGAAATTAAAATACATCATAATTGTTATATGATGTCAAAATAGTTCTATGAAATTATGAAACTTTAAAACCAAATCAGCTGGGCACTGCACACATTCAGGGAAAACCTGAACAATGACATTGATTTTTATTTATTTATTTATACATACATACACATATTTATAGGCCACCTAGAACTGCCAAGGCCTTCCTAGGCAGCTTTTCCAGGTGACGCCTAATTGGTGCCTCTCAAATATCAGGTGGAAGGCATTCTTTAACTTGGATGTCACCAAGAAGGCCTGCTTCCTGGTTGCTGTGAGGCACAGTATGTGTGCAGAGCTCGTTCTCAGTTAATTATAATTAATCAGGTTGTTGTGGTTGCTGTTACATGTCGACAAGTTATTTCAGCTTATAGTGACCCTGTGAATTAAAACCTTCCAAAATATCCTGTCCTTGACAGCCCTGCTCAGCTCTTGTAAAATCACCTCTATGAGATATTTGAAGTTATCCGTTAGGGAATATAAATTTTATAAAGTTATAACATTCAAACAAATTTTAAGAGAAGATAAATGCATAACTTTTAAACAATAAATCAGAAGACCAAATACACTAGTGAAATGAATTCTAATGATTTTAGGAAAAATTATGGTCAAGATAAAGTAGAGGTAAGAAAACACGTATGTTTTACTTAGGACATATTTGCAAAGGGTTATGCATGGAATGGAATTTATACAACACTGCAATTTTCTCTTTTCCTACCACAGTCCCTTGTGCTCCCTGAAAAGCTGCTCCTAAAAGTTAGGAAGCCATCCAGAGCAGAACTGAATATGAAAAGAAAAGTCAGCAACCCATAGGCCAGCCCCACTGGCAGAGTTTTCTTCTTCTTCTAGTCAGTACTTATTGCAATCAGGGCCTAATTAAATTACCATTGTCATGATCTGCAGGATTCCAATCAAAGTCATCATTTGCATCTTGCTGCCAGGCACAAGACCCTAGACCAAAGCTGCAATCCACTAAGGTGAGGTCCAGAAACAGGAATTGAAGGTTCAAAACAAGGAAAGACAAGATGCCATGTTATATAAAAATCATGAACCTGCTTTTTAGTTAAGCAATAGCTGTAAAACTCCAAATTAGAACATCTCCCAAAACACAGGAGCAAGGGCAAGCAACAGCTCATGCATTCATCTGGATATTCCAGGACTACAAGTCCTATCACCCCTAAGCATTAGCTAAGTTAGATCGGGCTGGTGGGAATTGTAGTCCAGCGCTGAAGGGGAACAACAGCTTGCTTATTTAAACAGCTTAATTGAACTAAAATGTGTTTCAAAAGTGAAAGAAAATCATAGGCAGTAATGATATTAAACATATGATGTTCAAGGGTGTTCAGATTTCTTATACTTAAGAGGTCAAGTCATCTTGGATGTGGGGCTATTTCACTTCTAATTTACCATAGCTTAAAAAAAAATGGATTCAGTGTGGTCTACTTAGTATCAGGCAAGAATCTGGAGACTTTTTAATGAAAACAGATAGTTTGAAAGGGACCTTGTAGACCTACCTGACAGCTGCCACACTTGTACCACAAGAAAAGCATGCATGCTACTTTTTTTAGAAGTCCCACCTTCCCATCCTGTCCCTTAAGAATATAATCCTATCTACATTTGGACAGAGAAAAGGTCTGCAACATATGGCATGCCCTAGCTGCCCAATTGGCTGAGGCATGCTGGTACTTGTAGGCCTTCATGCACAGAATCAAGGGCCTTCAAGTACTTAATCTCATCCAAAATCGACCAGCTGTTTCAAGATTTGGCACAAGAAGTTTTCAAAGCTAATCTACCGCCAGTGTGAGTAAGTGAAAGTGCCTGTGCATGAGCTCCCCTTCTGAAAAGATGTCAGGATAAATCTTCAAACTGCATTTGTGAACGCCATGCTTCTTCATGCACCTGATGGGCTCTAGCTCATGAAACCTTATGCCAGACTAAATCTGTAACTTTTTAAGGTACCACGAGGTTCTTTGTTCTTTCTCCGAGCTGCTTTCAGACATTGGACTAACTGAATTGCACCAGGCAAGAGAAATATTGCCAGACAGAAATGGCCCGTGCTTGAGGCACGTTGCCAGCGTGTAAGATTTCTGCAATCCAGGCAATCACAGTGCAGATTTCCATTCTCCTTCTTATGAGTTGCAATGGCAAAATGAGAAGAAGCAGGATCAGCACAGAGTAGCACAGTCCAAAATGCTAGTTGTCTCCACTTTATTGTAATGATGCAGTTGCGTATTCTTCGATTCTGGACTTAATTGTCTTATGAAGGCTCTTTCCTTTGATGACAATGTGGTTGCTTCACATACTTCTAAATGGTGTAAATCAGACTGGCTGCTTTTGGGGACCCTCCTGCCCATTCTGTGGCAAGGGGTCCTCAATTCCTTCCCCAGAGTTCTGCTCTGAAGACATCACTGCTTTCTTGAGATATATTTTTGTCCTATTCTGAGCTTAGCTGGAACAGGACATATTCAGGAAGAGGAGACACTGCCTGGACAAAGTCTTCGAAAGGAGGGTTTGCAAAGCATTTAAGAATTTTGATGTGCCAATGTACCTGACTTGTAATTTCAGCAATATATCTTGATAAACGGTGGAGTCTGGGTAAAAACAACTCATTGAAATTCAACTGTCAAAGGTGAAATGGTGCACGTGATAAATTAGAACACAAGAGGAAGAATTACTAGACAGAAGAGCTGCTTAGGCCCTAACTTTTAGGGGAGTAATGGGCATTTTGAGTGTGACTGATGATGATAAAGCTGAAGCAGCGAGAAACTTGACTATAGACCTGTTGTTGTTTTTTTTTAAAGAGATTTTATCAACAGACTTAACAAAACTTTATTAGAACTTTACTAGCTTCATTGAATACTGCCTGTCAAATGCAGTGGAAAGATGCAACCACTAGATGAAAATTACTATCACAATTTAAAAATCTGCTGACCTTCCATATCTGCTTTCTGGACTGGAATTTTTCTTTCTCCTGGAATTGGATCAAAGGCAGCAGCTTCTTTAGCTAATGGCATAAGACACATTGTTAAAATACTTTAAAATAATACATACAACATTGAATTAATTGGCATGCCACACATTATTGTTTACATTTCATAGAAACATAAAAACAGAGCGAGTCAGAAAGGTTAGGCCATCTAGTCTGACTCTCGGCTCCAGCCGGCTCCGCTCATGACATGACCATCATGTGCATGTCTAGCCTATCTTTGAACACCCTCACCCTTACCAACAACAACAACAACAACATTTCATAATATAATACTTTGTAAAAAAAATGTCCCAAAGTAACACATGGCTAAGTTATCTCCAAACAACATTGTTAACTGAAATGTAGCAAGCCTGAGGTTCTGTTTTCAAATACATCAGTCAAACATGTTGCATTTTAGGGAAATGATCAGATTTGTGTGCAGTAAATGTTTCAGCTAATGATTAATGTTGTATTTTGTGAGCTAGAAAAATATTTTTGGAAAGGTATATTAAGGTATTTTCAAAATGGATCTCAGAACAATCTTACATTCTATCATCCTGACTAAACTAAGGATAATCTGAATTCAAGTACCAGCTACAAATGTATTAAGTATTTCATAAATGTCTTGCACTGCTATTCCATTTCAACCTATTTTTACACTGTCTCTCTTATGTGTTTATAATTGCTTTCAAATGTTGTAGGAAATACAATCATTTGCAATGCATGTCATTTGATATTGTTTCAAACAAAATATTCAGGAAACATAGAAAAACAAACTAAATGTGACACTGTTATTATGGTTGCAGAGGTTAAGGAGACAGATTCTCTTCTCATTTCATAACTGGAAAGTTTTTGAATCTTAATTTAGACTTAACAGCCACACTTATGAGGCATAACCAGCCTCAGTCATTGCACTCATACATGCTTGTGTACACATGTATTCTAGTTCACAGAATACCCTTCAAATGATCCTAGATGTGAGTACATCCAATATCAAAGGGCAGGCATCCAGCATCCAAGATCTCATTACACAGAAATGGAAATGGAGTATGCAGACATTCTTGGAGCCCAGAGTGTGTTTTATTTCTCATTATTTAACTATTTATTACATTTGTACTCTGCTTGTGCTCCAAATGGCTCAGAGTAGCTTACATATGAAACCCAGATGGCCTCACATCCCGGTTGACTTTAGCAATATGATGGCATCATGTGGACAACTCTTAGTTCATTATCTTTACGTAAATGCATGACAGACAGATGGAAATTTGGTTCAGATGATGTGGAAGCTATTCTAGGGTCTGGTTTAGCAATATGTTATACCCATATAAACATGCATTAAACTTTGCAGAGATAATTTAGTGCATAAGGATGTTCTTTAGCACTTTTCAAACTGAAAAGAGATAGGTCTTTTTGAAGACCATATGTGATATCTTTGAATGACATAACATTTTTTTAAAATCCTCCTCTTACTCTCCTGAAAAGGCATATTATTGCAAGATTTAAGTCACTAAGATCATATTTTAAATCACTTTGGGCACAATCCTATGCATGTATGGGGAGATAAAAGACCTGCAGCTACCAACTCTGCTGTTTCTTGCATTAGAAGCAAGGAAAGAGCTCTCAAAAACATATTCAGTGAATGCATCTGTGTCCAGTGTTGGCAAATGAATGACGACTCTCAAATGGAACCCTGCTTGCAAATGATGGTTTGCTACTTGCTCAATTAAGGAATTATAGTATTTAAGAAAGTGGGGTGCAAGAGGGAAAGGGAACATATGATTCCTAGGCTGATAGGTAGAATAGCAAGATCTACCAACCCTCCCACCTCCCCACTTTTTTCTTACATTCAGCTTTTGTAAATCCATGATGTTCTGGTTCTTTCATCACACTGGCTGCTGCGTAGGCCAAGGAGGAACACCTGGTCTGGCAGCATCCCATCATTCTGCTCACTGTGAGAGTACACACACCCCACCAACAGAAGAAAAATAAAGACTTCCTCCCCAGAGGACTTGCTCCTCTGAAACAAGGGATTATTTTCAAAACATTTTGTAGGCACAGCCAGTGTAGGACATACAGCCAAGAAAACCTGGTCCTGATCTGTCCCAGAGGGATGGATAGAACTGGTGAGGGCGACTGGGTGCTATAATTCAGTTCTCCCTCCTGCCCTTATTGTGTCACAGGATCTGTTCTCTCAACCAAGGGAAAAGAAGCACAGGTGGCAGCCTAGATAGATGTAGGAGAGAATGAGCCTATCTGTCGTTTAGTCAGTTTTATATAAGAAGCAGAGCAGTCAGATGAGCTGAGACCAGATGTTTTGAATCAACCTGTCCCACTTCCAGTAAAACTGAGGGTTGCTTGTACCACAGCCAGGAAACTAATGTAGCAATATCCTTCTAAACATCATATGGTCATAGAATAGTAGTGTTGGAAGTAGCCAGTAAGGCTATTGGGTCCAACCCCCTGCTCACTGCAGGGCTCCAAGTTAAGCATCCCAGGCAGATGGCTGTCCTGCTGCATCTTGAATGAATCCAGTGTGGCTGAGCCCATGACCCCCTAAGCAGTTGGTTCCATTGTTGTATTGCTTTAACTGTCAGGAAGTTGTTCCTGGTGCTCAGCCAGAATCTGGCTTCCTGTAACATGAGGCCAGTATTCCATGCCTTGGCTTTCCTTTGTCTGAGAACTGGTCTTAAGGTGAAACATGCCTGATTATTTCATTCTGCCCTCACAGGGCTTTGTTTTCATTTCCATGAACATCTTTGTTACCCTCCTCAGAGCCTTTTCCTGCATCTTTCTCAAGGTGTGTGTGGCCCAGAACTGGATGCAGTATTCGATATGAGGCCTAGGTGCTGGGTAGAGGAGAACTTATACTTCATGTGTCTTAGATGAGATACTTCTGTTAGTGGAGCCTATAATAGCACTTGCCTTGTTTGCAGCTACATCACACTGTTGACTCAGATTCAGCTTGTAATCTACAACATTCCAAACTCCTTGCTTGTAGTACTGTTAAGCCAAGTATCCTCTGTCATGAAACTGTTCATTAGCTGTCCCATCCAATTTCATGTCATCTTCAGATCTGATGAGCATTCTCTGTACTTCCTCATCAAAATCATTCACAACACTGAGCTCAGTATTAAACCCTGTAGTACCCTACTTATTGCATCTCTCTCTTGCAGAATTGATGTGATTGGTGATTCTGGGGACAATCTGAGTTCAATTCTGCAGCCAAATGTGGGTCCACCTAATAGCTGTTCCATCTAGCTAATCAGGATATAATGGGGCACTTTGTCAAAGCTTTGCTGACATCAATATAGTTTATGTGCAAAGCATTCCTCCAGGACAGCAGAGAGGCTACCCAATCAAAAATGACATCAGAATAGCCTGGCAGGATTTATTCTTGCCAGATCCATGTTGGCTTCTAGTATACTAGATTAGTAAAAATTGATATATAGGATAGTCTGAAGTGCCTGATCCTGCCTACTTTCGGAAGCTAAGCAGGATTGGGCCTGGTTGAAATTGGGATGGGTGCCCTAATGTTGTGAACCGCCCAGAGAGCTTCAGCTATGGGAGGTATATAAATGTAATGAATCATCATTACCATTGACATCCTGTTTTCAAGGAGTTTGTAGATTAATTACTTCATAATCTGTTCCAGAATTTCCCAGGGACTGATGGCAGATTGACTGCTCTGTAGTTTCCAGATTCCTCCTGCCACCCTTTTTAGCCATCCTCCAGTCATCTATCCAACCTCCATGGTTTGTCAAAGAGAACAGACATGTGTTCTGAGGTTTCTTTTACCAGTTTCTCTGGAATGAAGTTCATCATTTTTTGGAGATCTCACCCCCTGTTCCTTCTGTTCCTTGACCATTTGTCTATCAATCTCAAACTGCAAACCTAGCCCTTCAGCTTGTATTTCACCTTTGCTAAAGAGGCCATAGACTCTCTTCGGAGAGAAGACTGAGCCAAAGTAGGAATCGAACATTTCAACCTTTTGTCATCTGTTACCATTTTGCAATCCTCATTGAATAGATGAAGCATCATTTCTTTTTTGTCTTTTACTATATATGTATTTGAAGAAAGCTTTTTTGTTGCTTTTAGCATTCCTCACTAACCTCAGTTTCACCTTCCCTTCTGTTCCTTCTCTTTTTCTTGAACAATATCCTTCAGTTGCTAACTTCCAGTCATGAGAGGCATCCTACCAAGTTTCACTGACACCTAGTCAGTTATTTTCACTGTCCTGTATTAAGAGTTCAAGTTTATGCAATACTCTGGGTGTTATTATATAGACATCAATGGCAATGTGCTTTATAGTCAAGCTTTCTTCCGACATTTTTGAAAGACTGCTATTGGATGCTATTACAGCTGCTCTGTCCATTGTTGCTTATAAGCCTTAGTACATTGTCAATCCCCAAATTTATTTCTCTCTCCCCTACAGAATTCAGTTAAAAGCCCTGCTGCTGAATTTATTCATGCTGTGGCCAAACACATCCTTCCTGGTCCTTGTGAGTGCAACCAATCCCTTGCCAGTGGTCCATCTTCCAGGAAATATATCCTCCGGTCCCAGAATCCAAATCTCTCACATCAGCATGAACTTCATACTCAGGCATTCACATGTAGTATTTTTCTTAATCTTTCTGTTTAACCTTGATGGTTGGATAAGAAAACTGTTAGGGCCCCCAAGTTCTTGAGTTCCCTTCCCAAAGCTTCCATGTCTGACATGGTTTCTTTCAAGTTCTGCTTGGCAGTATCATCTGTTCCCATGTGAAGGAGCAAGGATTTTTGTCAATGGGCTCTATAAGCAACGGCAATCCCTCAGCCACAATACATCCTCCAGGGACACAGCACACTTGGTGGGTCTTCACAACATACATAGGTTTCCATTCCAGTCAGCAGGGAGTCCCCTGCAATTACCACTCTTCCCTTGTTGTTCTAGATCTTCATTTCAGCTTTTATAGTGTCTTTGCTGCTACTTTCCCACCATCTAAGAACTCTTTATTTTCTCTTACTCCCTTGAGGGTAGACACTTGCCACTCTCACTTCTTCTTCCAGCAAGGCAACAAGCTTGCACTTGGGTAGACTATGTTGATTGGATTGGAAAGTCTCAAGAAGGGAGCTCCACTGTCTCTGTTCTTCAGGGAAGCTAATTGGTTCAAGTGTCTATGTTTTAGATTAAGGTTTTATGTCACACACAATTTTTATAATTGTGCCAATAAATGTTTTTACTACTACTAATGTAGATCTTGGTGGGGGGCCAGGGGAAATCACAGATCTCACTGGTCTTTTCCATCCACACCATCTACTCCCTTTTCGGTTCTGTGTTACTGTATTGGAATGGCCTCTGCTTTGTATTGACTCTGTTTAGGTGAGAGTGAACTCAGAACCACATAAGCTTTTTCATGGAGCAAAGTTGTCTACAGTCAGCATTTCATGTCCAGATGTGGTTTTGCCTTTATCGTCAAACTGTCTTGTTCAATGATTTATGAATGCCTGTAGACACATCTTGATTGTGGCTATAAAGGTTGCATCCCACACATACATGTGTTTCAGACCAAATGCCAAGATCTGGTTTGCCATCATACTCATGAACAGGTTTGAGCTTGGAGCTTGTGTACTACTTCTTGACCTTATGCACAACAATTTCTTATTTTTCAATTCTCACATAACCATAGTTTGCCGTTTCATCGGAATCATGAAAAAATAGTTTGTTCAAAGATTAAGATTTCCATTTAGCCAAGATCATCAACCACAATCACACTCTGGTTTATAAGCATGTAGGCAAGCAACGCTTTGAACAAATCATAGTTTGTTGGGTTCATATAAAATGCAAACAGTCGAATGTAGAAACAGGCAATTTTCAAGAAACTATGGATTTGATATTGCGAGAACAACATGGCTAGCCATTCTCCAATCGTATGTTGGACTTACTCTTCTCAAGTAGGAGTCCTGCACTTGTGTCCCTGCAGTGTGCCCCTCATGGCGAACTGCTTTTAAATTACTGTTTTAAAAAACACATATTTTTTCCCCTTCAAAACAGAACTCCCAAAGCAATTTGCAACATGGTTGGGGCCACTGTTCAAAAGAAATAAAACATAATAAATAACATCAATCTGCATGTTTTGTTTCTCCCTGAAGTCTCTCTCTTGATTAGAATCTCTTAAGTTTCAGCACCTTGCAGCAGCATTACTAACAGCATTTGCACTCGTGGCATAGCTAAGAATATCACAATATCATATCACAAACGACTCTTGAAACAGTAAAGTTCCATGCCCTTCATGGTTATTGTGAATCACCATTGGTGCTGATTTTTCCACCCCCAATTTGAGTACTGCCTCATTTCAGTAGATTTTTGCATCAGCCCAAAAGGAGGCCATTTTGGCGAGACATCTGAGAGACCACAAGATTGGGATGACAAACACAGCACAGAATAAAACTTTAAGGCAGCATCTGGAAGAGTTTTGGTCAAATTACTCTGCAACACTCTGGCATGTAAGCAGGTAAATAAATATAAATTAGATGCTTAAACAGAATATGATATAGGAACAATAAAGCAGTGTTTCAGTACACAATATCCTGAAAGTGAGCCATGATGGGGGTGGAGGGAATACTTCATCCAAATAATTAAAATGCATTCATTTTAAACCTCTTTTATCAACTACTATTGCACAAAGACTGTTTTTGGTACAAGCCATATTTATGGATATACTTCAGCCTAGTGATGAAATATAATCTGTAATATCCCATGTTATAAATTCTATGGGGGATAGGGCCCAGCACTGGTGGGGTTGCATTTTAAGTTGTTGTGTCATGCAAACCTAGTCCTTATCTGATTAGAACAATGGCATTGTTCCTATGGACAGTCCTAAGGGCTCTGTGCTTTAATGAATTATGTGAAGAATATTTCCTGCTTCAAAGAGATAATTTGAGTCATGTATGGAGGAAACCATGACATACAAATAGTGACAACCCAGCCTCGTTTACATGTCTGAGTTGAGGATGGCTTGTCATTGAGTCATGAGTTCTAATATGGTGTGAACCCTGAATTATGGTTTAACTATGGTTATTAAATATTAGCAGCCTGGAACACAACCCATAGTTTGTTGCAGGGCTGTCATAGTACATATTCTGCCTGTTCTCTCGCTTGCTGTTGTACGTGAACCAGGTCAATGTGTCAGCACAGAGGCAAATTAATGCATTACAGCTATACCACAAGAAAAGAAAGCAATTAACAGCTTACACTTATCTTAAGCAAATGTAGAATATGGGTCAAGCCAAACCCTTCTGCTTCTGTGCGACTGCTTGCGCAGCAAGGCTTGTGGAAACTCTCACACGTAGTTCAGTTTTTTTGCTTTGAGTGATAAGATCCCTCATGTTCCTGCCACATATTTCTGGCAGCTGGTTTGATTTGTGGGGATGAGATACGGGGTTCTACATTCCACCTCCTCTTGCACGGCCACAAAGAGACTCAGATCTTCTACGTTTGTTTTTCCACAGTTTAGTGTGTTGTCTGATCTATAAACTGTGATTATTCTAAGCTATGAACTGTTAAAAAAAGCAGCTTCTTAAACTACAGTTTAAAACCTGCTTGTTTCAAGAAATCATATAGCTAAGATTAACCACAGTTAATCTAAGTTCAGGTGACTTGACAAGCTAATATGAAACAAAAACTTCTGAATTTCTCTTTGTGTTCATGTGAAAAGAAGAGGGAGGAACAAGTGCATGAGCTGAAGATTCACTGCAATTCATTTTCATGATGCTTGTTTAAAATGATGATTCAGCATTCTATTCAAATAAGGCCAGTGGTCTGGTTGAAATATAACTCTAAGTTATTGTTTAGCACCAGGTGTGCAAGCTTTGGCTTCGTGCGTGTCCTTTCTCCTCCTTTGGTGAAGTTACAAGGAGATCGGAAACATATACTTAAGCTTGTAAACTAACCAGATTTCCCCATTATGTTCCAAACACAGGGAATTTAAATAAGTTTAAATGAAGGACAGGCAACTTCCATGGGCTGAGAGCCAATTTCCTTAACTCTCAGAACCGACTAGGGACTGCACCCTTTCCTACTGCTGTTGTGGTGCTAATTCTCTTACCAAAATTAGGGTTACCAAATTCTGTTATCAATGACATGGTAATAGCAGCAGCAAAGAAAGTGGTCATTTTCCTCTGAAACAAGGTGGATGGAGAGCGTGACTATTACTAGGAAGCATAAATATTTTCTTTTCTTACCACCAATGTGGTGGCAACTTCAGCAGCAACAGAGGTGGCAGGAGAAGCTGTATGCAACCTGTGACCCATGTTGCCAAACCATGGTTTAAGTAATGTTACTTGAACAAACCAGGATATGGTTTGATAAATGTTTGTTTCCTCAAACTATAGTTTAAACCCTAAATTAACCTGCCCTTCCTTTAATTTATATGTGATTAATTTAAAAGCATCAGAGAGCTTTCAATCTCTACCTTGTGATAGTACTAGAGCAGAAGATGGACTGAGTGTATATGTGAGCAGAAAATGTGTGCATGCTCATAATTAAAAAACTAAATATAAAGATGTAAAGCTAAACACATAGTTTACATCCAAAAAGATACATCACAAAATGCCTCAGATCTGCCTGGAAATACTCATAGTGTTGGAGAACTCAGTCGGTAGTACATGTTTTCAAATTCTGCCTATCCTGGTCTGGCATATGTCAATAAGAAAACATATTGTAATCACCAAGGGATCCTTAAAGATTATTAAATGAAGATAATGACTTCCTTTGAGTTTATCCATGTCCAATCAACACACAAAGTTAAACAACAAATCTTTTACAACTATGAAGGTATATACTGTAAACTGTTCCTTTATTTGTTTAAGCTAGCTGTGCTCCAGAGCACTAAATATGCTAAAAAGGATTTTAAAGATCATAATTCAAACAATCTCATTTAGCCAGATTGTCCTTTGTTATAGTGAGGTGGACATTTGGATGTTTTCAAGTGAAAGAAATGTAATTAACAAAGACATAAAGAAAAACAGTCTGAACATCACAAACACGGAGCAGCTAATTCTAAGCCAGACAAAATTCAGATAAAAGATACATGAATAAAATGTGAACTTGAAACCCTAAGGATTTAAGGGTGTGCTTTTATGGCAGTTTCTCATGGCCATAGATGTAGTGCTTACCAACAAATGTAGGAAAGGTCCTGGGTACAAACCTATTTCCTCCATGGATAGTTGCATGTTCTCATAGTCTGACAATTATGCAATCTGTATCTCCCATTCTCCTCATCCCCCAGTGCACATATCCCAATCTATTGCTGGGATGGGAGCAGTGAAAACTGGTCTCCATGTGGGTATTAGATGCACATTGAATGCACTTCTCCTCCCGTTCTTTGATGGGCTCTAGCCGCATTCCCCTATCTGGTCTGCTCCAGATGTTTTGATGAAGCTGATAGGAGTGAAGTTCAAAACATCCAGAAAATATCAGAGTGGGGAATGCTGTTTATGCAGTCCTGTAATACAGCACTGAGTGGCAGGATTTAGTAATAGCTAGAATTAGGTGTCAATATTTCTGATCCTTGAAAGACCTGGATAAGGAGGAGTTTTAGTAAAGCAGCAAGAGCTCTAGTTTGGTATGGTTGAAATACTTTTGTGGCATTTTTGCTTTTTGGAATATTACATTTTTTATCTTTTATGAGCCTTATTGTCTGGTAAACCACAGTCTCTTAGTTGTGCGATGCCTAGAGAAACTTGCTTATAATAAACACATAAGACTAAAGAAATAATGCATTGTTTCAACTGCCCATTGATGCTATGAAGGTAATAATAGTGGCCTACTTTACAGAGTTATTTAAAGGTAGTGTGAGGTTGTGTGAACTGTGTAAAGTGCTTGAATAACTGGTTCACACATAACACGAACAAATTATGGGTTATTTAACTCATGTTTCACATGGAGGGGGCAGTTCCAGTGACTGTAAACAAGAGATCAGAGGCTGTGAGTTTGACATGCAAACCCAGCTAAATAATCCAACAATTAACTCTGGATTTGTTCTTAGATTAACTGCTGGGTTGTTTTACTCCTAACAATGCAGAGAATCCATGTGTGCATGTCACACACCCATCCTCCAATTAGAAATTACTTAAAGGAAATGGAAACTTCCACTAATCATGCATTAACTTACCCATCACTTGCCACAGTATGTCACTATGATGTGCAAACAGCTTCAAAAACTTCTATATAAAAGTATGTATTTATCATTATTTTGATTCATCACTGTCCTTTGAAAGTAGAGTCACATAGGAGAAGCCACATAAATCCTTGTCATATATGATTTTCAAAATTCTATGCACAGTGGGACTGGAGAGGGAGATATAGAGATTAAACTTACAAAATACATCTCCTCGGAGCGTCTTCTCATGACCAGTCTGGTTTTCTGGGTGTTCCTTTTGCCCTTCTTCTTTCACATCTCCTTTTTCTTTTACATTTCCATCTCTTCTAATATCTACAGTGCTTTGTCTCTGTTCACTGAGGGCATCCTCTGCATATACACCATCCTCATTGTCTACGGGTCTTACATAAACCTTAGAAGTGGGAGTCATAGGAGGTTCGGGAATTGCATTTCTTTGGTCTTCATGCTTCTTCATACTGTTCTTGTGCACAAGCAGTTTCTTGAGCTTCTCTTTGGCAATACCAGAGATTCTGAGTACCCCTTTAACAGAATTATCAGGAATAACTAGGGGAAGAGAACCAGAATTAACTACAAAATATGCCCTATTTACTTAAACTGTAAAGGTCTTAGCACTCTTAATTGGCAAATTGGTAATTTTTTCAAGATAACAAGCAATCCAAAGTCATTTCTTTTACATGTAAAGGTGCTATATGTGTAGATATAGGCTCTGTAGAAAGAAGATATATTTTCTTCCCCAGTACTATTAAAAACATTTGTGACCATTTTGGTGACCATCTGACCTGTACAGCTTGGAAGATGCAGGGTGAGCTTGAGCCACCACCATGTGCGGTGGTCTGTCAGAAATCAGAGGCTTGCAGAGAGAAGGGACAACTTGACAAAACTCACCTCCCATGCCCCTCCTCCCCTGCTAGCTTCAGCCCAGCAGGGCACAGAATCTCAGAAGCCTCCGGGTGTGTTAGCTTCCAAGGAGTGATAGTGGAGTCCTTTTTATTCCACCCCAAATCCATTACATGTCCTATCATTTCATAAAGTCTCTTGCACTGGAATGATATAGAATAATCATTTAAGAACTGTTTAAGAGGTTTGAATAGGATTCCCTGTGATCACTGCTAGGACTATGTGCAGGACCGCTCTCCTGCACTGCTTGGGAAAATTTCTGCAATCTTTGCTGAGCAAGGACTTTTTAGTTTTGTTTTTTATTGCTAAATACACTAAGTAGATAAAGATGAAGATCAAGGGCAAGAAGCAAATTCCTATCTCAGCTTTTAGGCATTCAGCAGGAAGCAGCTCTGGAAAGTCCCAAGGGAGGAAAGTCTTGGTCAAGGCTTCCAAGAAGCTCAAGAAATTGGAGAGGATAAAACAAGATTAAAAAAAATAAACTCATTTGCCATTTCCAAATGGCAAAGCACAGAATAATTTCTCTGTAATTCTCATCCCTTCCAACAATTTTGGGGTGCAACTTTTTTTTACCCCTCTACCCAATGCATCATTGAAAATAAATGGATTGAAAAAATTCAGCAGAGTGCTAATAAACCTATATAGTCTAAAGGGAAATGTTTTGACATTATCCATCTACTATTAAGTTCTCCATCCATCTAACATTTATTTCCCAAATGAAGTATTACAGAAACAAAAGAAGATAATTGGATCTTCCCATGAAACTATTACATTTGCTAGAAACAACTTTTCTTGCTAAACATTATTATTGCACCCAGTTTTATGAGGCTTTACACTTCAGTTTTTAAGCAAGCACACAGATAAGAGAACTGCAGCTTCTGTCTGTCCTATGGAGAGCATTTTCAGCTTAGGTTTGCTCAGATGACTATACATGAAGGCTTTGTCAATCGGCTTCTTGCGGATCCATCCCTCACCCCACCCACAGAGAATGCTGCGATAAAGGACGTACTGTCACTTAACTTACGTGGTTCGCTGCATCTTTATTCAGGCTGCAGTGAGAAAAATTAACAGGAAATCACCAATTCCCAACAGATTTCCTCTCAGCAATCAGAGACAATCTTCCAGTGTTTTAATAAAAATCTGTGGAGCTTTTCAAGGCAAGGATGGCTGCCCTACAAATCAGAACATCTGCTTCCAGCCCCTTGCTTTGAAGTCTGCCTATAGAAATGACTGCCCAGCAGAGAGTTGTTCTGGCTTTGGGAAACCAGGAGGCATTGGCATGGAGCTTGACTGGGATGGCTGAATGTACTCTTTCTGCAGATCTGATTCTTAAAAGTCCACACATTCCAGCTTCTTCAATCAGACAGACCACACTTAAGATGTCACAGTTCAAAACGGTGAAACCAAGGTTCAACATATTCACATTTCTCCTCCTTCCTCACTACCTGAAATCATCTATTTGGGTTTCTAGCATGGTAAATCAGTTTGACATGATAAAAATGTGTTCTCCTCAGGCTATTACACAAGCTATGTCTAGACTGAACTGATGGAAAGGCATGTCAAATGGTGGGGATAGAGCAAACATTCATGTGCTGTAATTTTAATTTGCCTTCAGGTGTTCAATGTGGCCCCTTAGAACATACTGCTAAAGTACTTAGTGCACAGTATTCCACTGCACAGAAAGCAATATCCACAGCTTTGAAATAGTTCTCAGAAAACACTCATCCCATTATCAACTCAACAAGCCTGCTAAGTCAGGGCAGTCACAGAATATGATTGGGGAACATCAAGTCAAGACATATCAGACAACTGATTAACCGAATTCTATCTTTAATTACATTACCAAGAAGATCCAGGTAAAAACTGGGGCAGCACAGTGCCTGAGGCTTAAAGCTTCCAATCAAGTGGTGTTGAAACCAGTGCTGAGCTGAAAGCCCTCATGAGAGAACTTCTGTCTTGAAATTGGTGAAATGTACCCTGGAACACCCTCCCCACAGTTCAGCCTTTTATTCTTTGCTTGCCCAGTTTCAGGGTGATGCCCCTTTGGGCAGTGGGAGGCTGCCACCTCTTCCCACCTTGTCCACAAACCCCTGGAAAGGATGTTAAATGGTGATTACAAAAAGAAACCATTAAGAGTAGGAAATTATACTTGGGAAGAATTTAACCCAGAAGGGTGATCCCTTTTTCAGCAATTTCACAAGCATATATAGATATTTTCATAAAAACAGAGCCATCTTCACATGCTAAGTGTGGAGGGAATTGATGTGGAGGAGGGATGTGGGAACCAAGCAATTTTCAAGCTTGCATAAAGTCTCTGAGAACAACTTCAAAGCTATCATTCCAGCCCATTTTTCAGCTCCTTTGAGTGAGAAAAGGGCACATTTTGAACAGGAAAAGTGCATATTCTGTACTTATTTTTCAACAGAGCACACTTTCCTTCTTTGACTAATATTTAAAAAGGTGTGTGTATGATACATACCTCAGAGTGCATGCTTTTAAAATATGCACTTGTTGAATATGGAGAAAAATGCAGGAATTCACACACATTTCTAAAAAAAGGTTTCCTCTCATGTTCACATTTGGAATTGTGAACAGAATATATTCAGTGATTTACAAACAGAAAGAAAATTCTCATGCATCCCTGATGTGGCACTGGGGACATGCTGAAATGGTCTTGTAATACTTTTACCAACATCCACCTTGCAACTCAAGCAGAACTATGCAATAATGGAGCCATGGGACTACTGACAAAACCAGGCTTCTCTGATCATGCTTGGCATGCTATTATGTATGCTCTGCTAAGCCATTATGTACTTTCCAGCCATGATGAGGAATGGGAACAAAAATTACAACATCACGGGTACATGTTGCAGAGTAGCCTCCCCCAACTCTGGCTGCCTGTTTGCTACTGGGGCAGGTTGAAGGCTTTGGCACTAGTGTATAAAGCCCTAAGCAACTTGAGACTATGGTACCTGGGGAGCAACTTCTCTTTAATCAGCTGCCTGTCACTGAGGTCAGCACTTGCCATGCTCCCAGGGGTTCTAAATACACCAGGGGTCTCAAACTCACGGCCCGTGGGCCAATTGTGGCCCGTGGGACGGTATTTTGTGGCCCCCACTTGATATCAAAGTTTAGTGATAGTGCAGCCCGCACGTTTTTCTCACATGCACCTGCGTGAGTCGTTACCCTGGGCGCAATGTTCCCTCTAAGTTGCGTGCCAGGATGGGGGATGGGCCCTGCGGCCTTCAAAGCTCCAGCAGCGCCCGGGCCGGCCGTGGGATGAGCGGCCCACCACCACCACAGTGGTGGAATACTTGATGCGGCCCAGCCTCACCCAGACTCTGCTTCCAGCGGCCCCCAGGGAAGGTGAGTTTGAGACCCCTGGAATACACCAATGTTCCTATTAGACTTTTTCTGGAGAGGAGCCTTCACTGTGGTAGCCCCTTTGATGTGGAACTCCGTCCCTCTGGAATCAGGCAGGCACCCACCCCGTGCTGTTTTCAGTGCCTCTTTATTTTAGGAATCCTTCTTTGGTTGACCAACCAGCAGCCACTTTTTAAGAACTGGCACTCTGTTTTAATATATTGCCTTATTTTTATCTTGTTATTATTCACCAATCTCTTTGGATATGGGGGTATATAAATGTTGCAAAAATATAAAAATAATAAACCTGGTGCTGCCCAAGCATATCAGACTACAGACCTCACTTCTGAAAGGTTTCTGGCAGCACAGTACATATGAGCTGAGCAAGGGCAAAAACAACATAACTATGCCCCAACTTCTGCATTGAACTATTTGACCCACATTTTAAGCACACCAGTTTGATTATGTGAACTGGCTCCTAACACTTGAAACTAAGCATGGATAAGCGGTGACTTCTAGGATATGTTGACCTACAGCTTCTATCAGCATACTCCGTGATGAGAGTCCAAAACCTTTGGAGAATCACAAGTTGTTCACCCATGTTTCAAACTTGTTCACAGCAGGAAAATAAGCAAGGAATAACAAAACACTTCCATGAAGGTTCAAAGTCTGTCCTTTAGATTTCATAGGCAATATAAAAGAGGTTGAACCTATGAAGCAGGTGAAGATTTCAGTCATATTCATCTGCCCAGGGCATGGTCTGGAGGCACATGAAGCAGCCACTTGCAGAACTCAAGCACTATTTGATCAAGAGTGCATGCAGCTTCCCTGAGTTAGATGTTGGAAGAAAGATGGGATGTAAAGATCTAATATGTTTTACTTCTGATTTTCTGAGCAGAAAACTTTTGTATCAAGTTTTCTGGATATTTATTAAACTGATTTATCAAATTTATTATGCACACTGGAGTTAAACCAGCAAGCCAGCCTCACAGCCTCCAACATCAAATGAACCAGAAGCTTTGGAGATTCTTTCCTCAGAAAGCACATTCTGGGAATGACTGAATATTCTACCATTCTACAAAGGTGGCATTGCTGCCTTCCCCAATCTTTTGCCCTCCAGATGTAGTAGGATTACAATTCCCATTATGGCTGTGCAGGCCGGGAATGATGGGAATTGCATTCAAACTTCTCTGGAGGGTCCCAGGTTGGGGCAGGCTGTGGCAGAAGAAAGCAGTGATACTTATTTTGCTGTGCACTGAATACTTACCAGCACAACGAAACCCATTGCCTCTGTAGCCTGGTTTACATTTGCACTTGAAGGATCCCTGAGTATTGAGACACTCTGCGTGGAAGTTACACTTGGGTATATTTGTTACGCATTCATTTACATCTAGAGAGAGAAATTAGTTGGGAAAAACAAATGATTGAAGTCAGTTTTAAAACAAACAGGCCATCACCTTCATACTGCAGAAACCTGCACCTGTTTAATAATCTGCACCTGTTTAACATGCAGGCACAGGAGCCAAATTGGAAAAAAGAAATGGTGTATGCGGTGAATGGAGACTGCATTTGTCAATGCAGTCTGAGTGAGTCTTAAAGAGGCAACACGGTCATGCAATATCATTCCAAAATTGGTCTGTGTTCCTCTAATGAGACTTTTATCTCATTTGTGCACTGGAACTAAGAGCATCAGAAAAATAAGAACTACGGATTTATCCAGTCCAGCATTCTAGTCACACAGTGGTGTTTCAGATGGAAAGCAGTAGCACATGGCCATTATCCTTATCCTCAGTGAAAAAAATGATTGGGTATGCATTCGGTTGAAAGACAGGGGGAAAATCTGAAAAAAAGCTTTGAATCTCCATGTAACCTCCCTTAATTTGCTATGGAAGGCAGTGCCACAGAGGCATACAGCATGACTTCTGATAACAAACTCCGTGTAAGCCATCAGCATTGCGGCCAGAATGAGCTCCTGAGAAAAAAGAAAGTGGTATCACCACACTTGGGAAATTCCTGGGTTTGCCAAAGTACATTCATCCAACTTTTAATACTCAAATACTTTAAGGAATCAACCCTTCCACAAAAAAGCACAATGAAGACTCAACACACTCAGTAGTCACAAAAAAAGAGAAAGATGGTTAAGAAGAAAAAAAAGGAGTTGGAAAAGAAAAATGAAAACTGGGAGATAATATTTTGGTTTGAATCCTGTGCAGGCACATTCATTTTAGTAATGAGGCATTAAATATATTTCAACATTTTGTAGATGTCAATAAAATATTGCATAACATGGAAGTGTCATTACCATTCCAGGGAACACCAAGCATTATTTTTGCTCTCTATAGGTCAGGAAAGGGGATGAAGGTGAGAATGAACTCTCAAGTTCCTAAGTCTCAGGATAGAAATAGAAGAAGCAGTAGGAAATATCCCTCATCCTAACCCTGAACTAAGCCATCCAGTAAATACCCTCATGGGCCTTGTGCAAGAAAGCCCTTGATCTTGCTAATCAATAATGCTTAGGGAAGGAACTCCTATTGCAGCTACTAAATTGCCGCTGTGATGTGCGGTCAAGTTCATCCCTCACCCTGTGAGTGAAAGCCCTCCAAAACCTTCACTGCCCTGCTCAGCATTGTAAACTCAAGGCTGTGGCTTCCTTCATATAATCAATCCATTTTTTGGACTCCCCTTTCTTCTGTCTTTGACTTTCCCTACCATTATCATTTTCTCCAGTGAGTCTTGTCTTCTCACAATGTTCCTGAAATATGACAGGTCCAGTTTCATAATTTTTGCTTCCAGGGAAAGGTCTGGCTTGGACTAGGTCCCACTCATTTATTTTTCAGTCAGTCCAGGGCATTCACACAGCTCTTCTCAAGTACCATGTTTTGAATGTATGGTTTTTTTTCCTGTCAGCTTTCCTCATTGTCCAGCTTTCACACCCATACACAGTGATTTGGAATACAGTGCTGTAAATGATCATGGCCTTGGTCTCCTTTGAAATGTCCTTCCACTTGATTATTTTCTTTTGCTCCTTCACTACTGCCCTTCCAAGTCCTGGTATTCTAATTTCTTGGCTGTAGTGTCCTTTTGAATTGATGATTGACCCAAGGCATTCAAAATCCTTCACAAGTTCAATTTCTCCATTGTTGACTTTAATGTTGCCTAATTGTTCTGTAGTCATGTTTTTTCTCTTAATGTTCAGCTGCAGTTCTGCTTTTGCACTTGCTTCTTTCACATTCAACAGAATTCGTTTCAATTCTTGTGGCTTTCTGCCGATAATATGGCATCATTTGCATATCTTAACTTATTGATGTATCTTCTATCAGTTTTCAGTTCTTCTTCCGATCTGATCCATCTTTCTGTATGATCTGTTCTGCATACACACTGAACAGACAGGGAAATACAATACACCTATGTCTGATGCCTTTACCTATAGAAACCATTCTGTTTCTTCATATTCTGTCCTCACAGTAGCTTCTTGCCCATGATACAGGTTATGCATCAGGACAATCAAATGCTAAGGCACACCCATTTCATTTAGGACCATCCATCACTTCTTATGATCCACACAGTCAAAGGCTTGTAAAGCACAGATTGATCTTCTGAAATTCTTTGGTGCATTCCAATAGCCAAAGTGAATTTGCAATACGATCTTGAGTGCCTCTTATTTTTCAGAATCCATCTTGAACATCAGTCTTTCCTTGCTCCATGGAGGGTAATATTCTTTGTGGCATCTTGAGTATCACTTTGCTCACATGGGAAATTAATGCAATGGACCTATGGTTGCTGCACTCTTTTGCATCTCCTTTCATGGGGAACAGAATGCATATTGAACATTTTGATTCTGTGGGTCATTTTCCCCATGTTTGCTGGCATATTCTCGTCAGTCTCTGTAGCTTGGAATCGTTCCCTTGGTATCCTGTCTACTTTGGGTGCTTTATTCTTCCAAGTGCTTTTGGAGCAGCTTGCACCTCACTTTCTAAGACTGAAAGTTCTTTTTCATACTATTTCCATGACAGAACAAACTAAAACAGAATGTTTGCACCAACTTTGAGGGCAAAGATATAAGCAAAGAGTTAAGAAACAAAAGTACTACTGCCTGAAGGTGAGCAGGGAGGAAGAAAAACTGGAGTAGATTTCTTTGGGAAAATGAGAAATGTTGGACCTTCTAGCTCTTTAATCCCTAGTTTTGAAAGCAGTTACTTGCCAGAGAAGTGGGGTTAGATTTTACTTTTCAAAAACAGATCTGTACAGGATTAAGGCTTATGCAGACCTACAAAAGAAGAAAAAGAAAGATTTTAAATATGTGGGAAAAGAGAAAAATATAAAGAGAATGTAATTCTTACCTAAACAGTCATATCGACCACTCACATGTTTCAGTTCATATCCAATCTGACACTTGCAATAGTAACTTCCAAATGTATTGACACATCTGCGGTTGAAAGAGCAAATAGCTTTGCCAGTGGCACACTCATCAATATCTAGGGCATGAAAATGAAATCTGATAAGGTCAAGAAAACACTCAAGAGAAAGTGTATTAAACAAAAATGTAATGCACACTAATGTGACCTCAGTAAATAGAGATAATGACTTTTGCAGAATATCTTATCAAGTTCAACTAAGGATGTTCCTATCTTGGTTATGGGCCAATAATTTCTGTGAAAAATCAATTAAACCCAGTAGATTTTGACTGATACCCCTCTGCATACCTGTTGTCTACAATAATTAATACTCCACATGTCCTTTATGTATAAGCATACCTTCTCCAATTCAGGAAACTGTCCAGTTTTAGACTGAAGAAACAGCAGACCTAAAGTCTAGTCTAATATCCTCTGAAGTCTTTCTTAGACAGGTTTGAGTAAACTATTTTATATATAAGCTGGTCAGTTTCCTGGAAGTCAAGCACCAGCTGAGCCATGGGCTTCACATGACATCACATACTGAGAAAAAGACAACAGGTGAGGCCATAGTCTGAAGACAAATAATAAACACAACCAATTTTCTGAAACTAAGCAAGTCTGGCCAGTGCCTGGATGGAAGCCTCCCAGGAAATCCCAGAAAGATGCTTAGATATAAATGTAGTAAATTAGTGCCCAAGAGCTCTGTGCCTATTTCAAATTACAGTACCTGAACTCCACTGCTCTCACTGGTTTATGTAATGAATGTACAAAGCTTCCCAGGTGCCAAGGCTGTGTACAATGCAGCACTGATCCTGAACTAAACAAGCTTCCCCATCCTGGTACCCTCCAGATGAGTTAGACTACATCTCCCAGCAAACCCCAGTCAACCATGTTGCTATATGGAAGACACCAGCCTGGCAAAGTTGACCTAAACACAAGTGAAACATTTGATGAGCTATGGCACTGCATTAGATACATGTAATTTGTAGATGCATGATCATTTGGCCGTAAGGTAACGTATTGTGGAAGACTGCCTTCCTATGCAATCTGTTCCAACATGTTAAGGCCCTGGGCCAATGCCACCAAGTGACATCAGCCAGGTGGAAGAGCCCACATCAATTACTGAATTTTAGGTAGAAAAAAATAAAACAAACTTTATACTAGTGCTGTGTCAAAGCTTCCCTCTTGCTTCCATGATTCTTCACTCCCTGCAAGAACAGTTTTTTCTGTTTTCTTTTGCAGGAAAGGGAAGAAGTTTGAAGAATTTTCTAGCTGAGCAAGGTGGCAGTGTTTTCATTCACCATTGCAGTGTAAATATAGCCAAACAGCCCTCTTTCAATTTATAAGCCGGCAGCATTCTGAGGCTTTTAGCCTACAATTTGCTTCATGTAATGTCCAGGAGACTGCGTGATGTTGCCCAGTCTTCTGAACACTCAGGAGTTGCTGTATGGCCGAAGGACCCTAAGCAAGATCAGGTGCACAGAGCTTCCTGCAGATGACATGAGTGCATAAGGGAGGAGGCTGTAAGATTTCAACACTGGTTCTTGCTTTCATCTTATGGCCTAAAGTTTCCAGTAAGCATTGATCAATCTATGAAGGATGTCTGGGGCAGTGGTGGGATGATGCTGGTGAGATGATAATTCCACTAATATCTGCCAAAGATGTGGTGATTGGATAGCCAACACATTTGGGAGGAAAGGGGTAATGTCTCCTTCTGTGACATGTTTACTGTTTAGAAACTGAGCCAGGAATTCATAAGGGCTCATTGCATGGTTCCTAAAAGTACTCTCAATTCATGAAATCAGTGTACAGCTTGCTGTAGCTGCTGCATGTCTCAAGCGGCAGCCTTTCTGCAAAGCAGCACCCCCAGTTTGATAGGTATAATGAATGTACTGCTTGAAAGGTTAGAAATGCCTGTGATCACCATTAGAGTTCATTTCCTGTACTTGTCAAGCATTTCCTCGATTCTAAAAGATCCCCAGAGGCACTGGGATGAGGAAATCCTCTCCCTCACTCCTGAAAACAACCTTCCTTGCTAAGGCATCAAGAGTCCATGGCATCAGATATAGCTCCAGCTGGGGAACAGATATATCAAGTGTCCAAAAACAATGAGATAATCTCATGTTAGGATCTTTCAAAAATTCCATGCTTTTCTCTGTTACTGTGTCATCGAAACCTGTGCTAACATGGCTGGAGAATGAGCTTACACTACCCTTTTCCCATGTAATGGATGAGGGATGCTTTTGCAGCAGAGTCCTCATACAATCCGGATCGCATGAGGGAGAGGGTGATAGTTCCATCGTCTGCATGGCTGGCTCCATTGCCCTCCATGTGTTTAGGGACAAACATTTGCTTGCAGAGGCTGTCCAGGGTACTAAATTATGCAGGGAGTCTCCATGAGGACAGCAGGCTTCCTGCTAGAGATCTCAGCCTGAAAGGATGCAATGAGGCAGGTGAGCTAGTGGGTTGGTCTTCATTCTCCTTCATGCAATTGCAGTCAAGGGGGATTTGAACACCTCAGTCAGGCTGGGTTGGTGGGGAAACTCTGTTTTATTTCTATTGTTCCATCAGTAATCAATACAGCAGGAAAGCACAACTAACACCAATCATGCAACAGCTAACTAAGAATGAGCCATATATAGCAATATTGATTTTTGAACTAACTTCCTCTTGAGGGTCTACCAATCTACAGCAATCAAAGGAACATTATGCAGGAACACTGTGATGTAATTTACACATAATAGGTATGGGTTGAGCAATTGAATCATGGGTTGTTGCTACATGTGGATCCTGAACAATAGTTGAGCTACTGGTGGTTAGGAATAGATTCCAGGATTTGTTGGGGGGTTGTGAATTCTGACTTGGTCATGCTTAAACCCCAGAATGAAACCACAGTACTCAGTTCACATGTAACAATGACCCATGGGTCAACATCAATCCATACTCAACACATACTCTGGGTTGTTATTACATGCAAAACTGCTCTATATTGTTCTTTATTACTTTTACAAAACACAAGCAACATTGGAGATGAGACCAGTAAGCCTTCAAAATATTGGGAATGGACACAACAACCTGGTTTTTCTCTGCTCTGCTAGATGGATGCAGACTATTCCATGGTATGTATGTTAGTGTATCTTTTCTATGCAAAGTCAGGTACAATGGGATTAATTTTGCATTTGTATGAATAATGAGAAAGAAATCCTAACCAAATGTATTTAGCCCAACTAAAATTACTGATCTACAATGGAAAGAAACAAGGAATATGATGGTGATGTACAGAAAACTGGTGGAACTGAGTGGCCACGAGTATAATGGTGGCCTGGGAAAGCTCCAGTTCAGTGCTTGCATCATGAAACAAATCCAAGTGGTCTTCATTAAGCCACTGTCTCTTAGCCTCAGCCTCACATCTACAATATTTATTCATCTGCCCAGCTATGTCGTAATGCATCGTATTGTATGGTTCTTGTGACAGTGATCCTGCCACCAACTGGTTAAGATGTAAAATGGTAATAAGCCTTCCAGTTTGGTCAAGGGGTACAGCCAGCAGGATGTGTGAAGATCAGCTTCTGTGAGGGAAGAAATCCAATGTCTGTTTCAATGTTTGAAACCTCACATGGGCTACTAATTGAAGTCAATGATGACAATGACCACAAGGACAACAAAAGCATCCCACTTCATATGCTGTACAGAAAGCAGAACACAAATTAGTGTTGTGTTAGTGGTATTTCTTTACTCTAGAATGATAGTCATTGTGTGATTCTATTATGTTCATAAACCACGGATCATATTCTAAGAATTGCTTGAGTTATGAACAAGAACATAAAAAATGTATAGATATACCTATGCATGTTTTTCCATTTGGTGCTAACTGCAGCCCACTTGATGGGCATAAGCATCGCACATCATCTTTCACCTCTTGACAGCCGTATTGGCAATTCACCATGGCACATGTCCTGGAATCTATAAGAGCACGTTTATTTGTCAGGGGTTCAACTAGCAATAGGAAATACCAAATAAATATACACTTGAAATGCAAACAAAGAAAGAGAGACATGATCGGCTGGAGTTTTGTTTCCTATACTGGAAACAGTTATTTCCATTGCCAGCACAACACACACCTCTGTTCCATTTACACTGGGACTTATCTCTTTCACAGTTTGGCAGTGCCATGGCAAAACCATGTTGCCAGTTCTTAAATAGCTACATCGCTTGCTGGTCTAATTCTGGGCACAACTGAAAGTGGCAGTGATGGATTGGGACCTGCCTACATAAGGGCCACCTTCCATCACATGAGCCTGCCTTAATCTTACAGTTGTTGGGTGTTCTTCCACAGGTTTCCTGGGCTGAACTACAAGCTTTGGTCCAGGAGTTGGATTGCCCTTTGCCCCCACCCCACACCAAAAGTTTGCAGACTGGAAGTCAAGTGGGTGGGGACTTACCTAGAAAATCTTCCCCTCCAGTGACGTGATCTGCCCTTGCCATGTTTTCTTTCTGTCAGTGCAGAGAAAGGCATACGGTTCCTCTGTGCATGACGAAAGGGGTCTGGCTGGTCCTGGTGCTTATAGGAAGTGCCTCCTTTTGTTTCCATGTTACTGGTATCCCAACTGAGGGCATGAATACTCCTGGAAGAGACTTGAATGGGGCTTGCAGGAGTGGATCTTGCAATTTCCAGCCATGCCATTCTTGGCAAGCCCCATTTATCTCCGTTTAATTGCTTTACTTATAAATTCTGAAGGGCGGAACCTGGCCCTCACTTCCTCTGAAGTTTCCATCTCTGGTCTAAAACATGCCTCAAACCAAACAAGATCTTCCTGAATACATTGTAAGGATAGAGAGTGGTAAGAATATCTTTTAATGCAGATTGCTCCAGAGTAGAGAGTGATCCATACAGCATAAACCATATGCTCTAAATATGAGACTTCGGTAACGGACTTTGCTTTATCTCAGTTACTGATCCTGCATAACATTTGTTACTTACTTGTGCAAGTGCCATCTGGCAGAAGCATGTACCCATTCAGGCAATAGCACTTGTAGCTGCCATGTGTGTTCATACATCTGTGTTCACAAGGATATGGTTTCAATCCACATTCATTGATATCTGTGGAGATCATTGGAACGGTTATGTCTGGAGATCCTTGGAGGGAAGGGTTGTGTTATTGTAGTGTTATTTCATGAATTACATTCTCATAGGATAGAAGTGTCTCCAGGATAAGCATGACCCTTGAGAAAGGGAAACTGAGCACACCATCTGGTGGTGTGTGTGGCAGAAACACTAATACAAGATTACTGGCACATCTGACAGGATCCAGGAAAGTATTTTGTACCAGTAGATGAATTGCACAGGGAAAAAAACAGAAAGAAAACAGCTGGTCCAATGTTAGTTATAGGCTGACCTTGTATACTTGTCATCAGAGCTCAGAGATTCTCAGACTTGGCCATAGGAAAGATCTGTAACTCAAAACTAAAACTGTAAATTTTCAATGTACAAAATAATAATAATACGTATTAAAAAAAAGAAATAAAGCCTTCTTGGCTTCAGTCACTGCAAAGCAACTCAAAGATAAACCAGGAGTCTAGACCTGCATAACTTCACAGCATGGTGTCAGGTTTTTGAAGGCCGCTTGCAAAAATGGGTTATGACCCAATTCACTTTACTGTGGTTAATTGGTAGAAAGGACAAGGCTTGTGAAAGCCTTCATTACAGGGCCTGCTATAGTAGATGGAAACAAACAGTGCAGGGGACAGGGAAAAGCTTTTGTCACTACAGGCAATGGACATCAGCTCCTGCAGAAATCTGTCTCACAATTTGGGTGTTACATGCTTTGAATTATAAAATGCCTTGATCCTACCAGTGATAATATGCAGCATGAGATCGCATGAAAAAATACATTTCTCAAAACCTGAGTCAGATTCATGGGAGCAAATGAATGCATTCTGAAACTGTTTTCCTCAACCCAGTTTGCATGTCCTGGGTTTAATGGGCCAGGAGAAGGAACACTGTCTTGTGCCAACATGTTAACTAGATATACACTGTAAGGACTAATGGATTTTCCTTTTGAACCAGTCTCAAACTGTTTTTATTCTATTAGTCAAAGCAACTAAATGTTTGTTGTAAGCCGCCCCGAGGCTTTGGTGAATGGGGCAGCACAGAAGCTCGCTAAATAAATAAATAAAATAAATAAATGTGAGCCTTTGTTTAATAGTGCTACAGGTTTCCTTTTATTGATAAGTATAATGTCATGGGTGGTGGGTTAATCTTGATGTTGTTTGATCTTTTTCTTTTAAATAAAGGGCAGTAAAAATCACCTACTGGACAAAGTTCTACAGTTGTACACACAACCTGCTAAAATATTGCAAAACATGAAATCAAATAATATGCAGCCAAAGTTGTTCACGAAATAGGACAGGACATCTGAAGAGTGAGGAAGAGTTTCTCACTTGTCATCAACTGTAACACACACACCACACATGCACACACACCGTGATCCATATCCGATGATCACAAAAGCACATATAATGCAACAAGCCTAAAAGCCACCCAAGTGGTCCTTCGCACTGGACTTTTAAAGATACACACTATTATCCTTTCCAGAAGCAGGAGGATGCCACTGTACACATGTCCTGGTTATGAGTTTCCTACAGACATCTTGGATGGTCACTGTGCAAGCAGAAAAGGCCTTTTGTATGTTCCAGTATAGCTCTTCTTATGTCCTTAATGCTGATAAGATACAAATTCTTTGCAGGTTAAGGACAAACTTGAAGGAATATTTAAGGATACAACACTTCCGAAACACAAACCTTGTGCAAACCAGGTTGTCTGGGAAAGCCTTTATAAGAACTTTACACTGTGCAGCTTTCATAACATCGGTTGGGAGAGTGAACATGTGCACTTCAAGGCCAAACTTCTTGTTGTGTTGAAGATCTGTGATGCCTTATCCTGGTAATTTTTTCTTTGATATATAGCAGACACAGATGACATAATTTGGATTGGGTCCATGATGCTCAGTGCATAAAGGAAGTCAGTTCTTTCTTTGGTGCTATTCCTCTCATTTAAATCCATCCCCAAAGCTGATATTAGAAGTGTCTCTGTGTGGGAGCCATTGTTGTACACATTATATCCAATGAATGCTTTGGAAGAAAGGGGACATTTAAACAGAGGAAGTAGTGAAGAGATCAGTCCTTCTTCTAGAACTGCTATCTCAGTCCAAAATTAGCCTAACGGATGTGAATGTTCTCACAGTTTTTCCTTCGTTAGAATGGGTGGTTTTCAGGAGAAAAGGTATCTTTTATTTCATTTCATAGTACATATATTTCATAACACCCAAAAGGCAGCATTCCCCTGGGCAGACCTTTAGTTCCAGTCTATCTATAATGTTGCTAGCCCCCCCTCATATCTTAGCTCACAGAGAACATGAAGTTTGATAGTGAGATGTCAGATGAAGTATTATTTGATGTTTATTCCAAGATTCATTGTATATCTATATTGTATATAGTATATTGTATTGTATATGGGCTGTTCTACATGAGGCTTTTAACTAACCATTTTACCAAGGCTTTGACTTCTGAATTCTTAAGATCAGATTTTTTTCATGAGGCTGTTTCCTGGGGGGGTTCCTTTCTCTGCCATCCTATATTCACAAGGCTGTGCTGTGGCATAATGTAATTGCCACAATACACAAATGGGTTTAACTGTGATTTACCCTCATAGCCAGATAATAGCTCATTTTCCTCAGTCTAAAAATACAGAAAGAGATACTTGGAAAGAGGGGAAAGGTTCTGAAGGATTACAATGATGTGGCAGAGCACCCACAGATGACTGTGAGTGAGGAATGACAAGCACACACTAAATGCTTCATGCAGCAAAGGCCTGCATCTGACATTTAACGGGGACAGCAGATGCTTTGGTTATGAATGCACTGTGCCAACTGTTATTGTCATGCCCAATCATTGTAAGTTACAGCTGAGGTTAAAAGGCACACATTTCACTGCTCCAATAGTGACAGTGCTCTGAATAGTGGAAGCTGAACTATTTGATCATGTAAAGTGGGTGTCTGGAAAGAGTGTATCTCATGTCACTGCAAGATGCTGGACAGTCTGGGTTTACTTCAGTGAAGATCTAAAGTATTTAACTGCTGGAATATCAAAGGAAAGACAAAGAGGGCACGTACCAGGATGCATCTTATGACCAGGAAGCAAATGCATGTTATTATGTACGTCATGATATAAACAGCCATCCTTGAAAGGAGCTCGAAAGGTGCAGGGGACAGGCGTACACCTTGGCACAGAGCAGGGCTGGATTAAAGATACAGTGTAATTCTAAACCAAGCTCAGAAGGGATATACAACTTGGTACCCTCTGGATGTTTTGGGTTACAACTCCCATAGGCCTGAATCACTATGGCCAATGGACAGGGATTACAGAAATTTGGTCCAAAACGTCTGGAAGGTGCCAGGTTTCATAGTACGTAAGTGTGCTAACCTAATATTCGGATGGTACTAAATAAAACCTTTTAGAGCCTGGGATACTGTAAGTAAACAATGCTACTATTTTTCATTGCTACAGTTTTACACTTACTTAAAATGTCAGCTCTTCTGAGTCAGAACTACAGTGAAGTGTTATAACTGGGGCACCTGGCTAGCCAAAGTGTGGATAATAAGGACTAAGGTGTGCAACAATTCCCTTCTCTCCAGCAGATTCCAGCTACAAGTAGGTGTCTGAAGTTAGTAAGGTAGCTTTGTTGTTTCAACTTAATTTGTGCGTGTGCATGTTTTAACTTTGGTTAACTTCCAAAGAGCCTCGGCTAGTGGGTGGGATAAAAATGAATGAATGAATGAATGAATGAATAAATATGTAAGTGGAAACCTATGCAGATAAAACAGCTTGTGGGAAAAGGGTTAAGCACCTCCTTCCGTACCACTCACTGCACAAAGAGCACTCCTTTCCTAAGCCACTACTCTTTACAAACAACATAGTATTATTGTTCTTAATAATAATTAAAACAAATACAGACTGTTACTATCATTAATATTATTAATAATATTACTGTACCACCAAATAGCCAACACACACACAGACACACACACACTATTTAATGTATAGTCTGTTCCTAAGAATCTTAGTGGAGGCAGCCAAGAACTAGAGTGCTGCCTGTCATTACACAATGCCATTATTATTTTATTATAATTATTGCATATACTATATCAATAGGTTGATAGATATACATAGTAATCGTTATACTATTTCATCAGCTGTTAGATTGAGGAGAAAATGTTGGGCAATCCATTCAACATAATTTCAAGGTAAAATAATATGAGGTTTATGGAACAAGCTATTCCCAACAGAGGATATTTAAAAGTCCCCTTTCTCCTTTAATTAAATTTCAGAAATAATAATTCAGTTTGTGCTGGAATAAAACAACGGTTGAAAATGGAATACATACAAGAAGTATGATATATTATACATACCTTGGCTGCAGGTTTTCCCTGTGAATCCTGGAAAACACTTACATTTATTTGCCATTACACATTCACCATATTTGCACCCATGTTCACAAGTAGCTGGAAAGGGGAACAGAGAGAAATAGGAAATGAAAATATGCTATCAGAGGAAAATAGCTAAACTATGATATTCTTCTGTTATATTGGAAGAAAAGTACTGGTAAAAAAGAAATGTAAGAAGACCAAAAGGTATCTGTTTTGCTTGTTCTAAATGTCTACACTGATTTGAGGCTTTCTTTACAGTAAATATTTAATAGAAATATGTTGGCATTGGTTTCATGGTTACCAGTTTTGAGAAAGTTGGTTTGTAGCTGGAAAGAGAACAAAAGAGATTTTGGAATTCCCCCCCCCCCCCCTCCCCAGCAAGACAAAATTCTGATTGGGAAACCTGAGAATAATTTTCTTGCTTTCATTGTGAGTGTCAAATTGAGTGTCTCCATTCATATGAACCTACTTACCAGTTTAGATCTATATTAGGGGCTGCCATTTTGAGGACTCCTGGACACACATTTGTCAAGCAGATACACACTGTGTCCCTTTTCTAATGAAAAGATCACCTATCGGGGCAACTAAGGTTGAATCTATCCTCCAATCAGATCCTAAACCTTGATCTCTGCCTGGAAGAGTCCAAGTGTCAGCCAAGAGTAATTATGGACAGATATTTTTTGATGGTTTTATTTTGTTATATATTGCTAGGGTCCTTGGACTTCTTCAATGTGAATGCTAGGATATGGGCCTGTCCTTTTCATCATACAATTAAAATATTCTTATTCAGGGCCTTTTGAAGGAAACGCATGGGGGAAAATTGCCCTGGACCTCCCACATGGAAGGGGCCACATCAGCACTGGCAGTACTGAATTATTGGCAACTCATTTCTTCCAGAATCCCGCTAATTTCAGCTTCATAAACCTAAAGGGGAAAGTCACAAAACAGATTTATTGGCAGCCATGTCCTTTTGCTGTGACAGAATGTGGTAACTGCAGGCAATGCTAGTAGGAGTCACTTAGCCCAACCGTATTCAGAAGTTCTCAGTGCACCAGGGTGCTCACAGAGACCTACCAGAGTGCTCTCTGTTCCCTTCACTAGTTCCTTATAACTGTCATCAACCTATTTTTTTCAGGGCTCCGTCTATTGTTCTGGGGACCAGTAGCTTTGGAAAACAAGAGTTGAAAGAACAAGAAGCATTATAATGGGCACCACCAAGTTAGAACTGTTTCCTCTCTTCTTTGCTCTGAACAGTAAATAGAACCATTTCGATTGCCTGCGATGAGCCGAGAAGAGAGAGAATGGGAACACTTCTAAGCAAAGTGAGAGGGCATGTGAATTTCAAGGACTGAGGAGAAATGGAATGAGCAGGAATGATGGGCACTCTGTGGGAAGGAAAAAAAGCAGAGGTTCTAGGCCAGAGGCTGTAGGAGGAAGGGAAAAGGGAGGACCAGTGCTGGCATGGAAGGAAAAAGGTACACATGTGCAAATGAGTAGTGTACTTTGTACAGAAGTGATTTGCCCCCTGTGAAATGGATAGCATGTTGAAGCTATGCGTTGGGAGCTCCAAAGAGTTCCTTTATGTTTTTGACTCCACATTGCCCTTTACCAAGGTTCTTGAGCAAGTTACTTGTCTTTTAACCATCTGTGAAATGAAAGTGTTGTTGCATTAGTAAATATTGGGAATATTCATACTTATTCATGGCAGCCCTTTTGTGGCAATGTCCACAGCATGTTTTCAACATTCCAGAAGCCAATAAGGTGGGAATTCCATACATTGTTGGTAACTCAGTTATTGCTTTTACTGTTTTAAAGGCATATAAAGAATTCAACTACCCATCCACCCTGTGAATAAGTGATTCCTTCTGTAAATGTTAAAAGAAATGGATAATGAATACTTGCTATAGATAAAACATAAACTATAGCTTCTAAATTAACTTCATCAAAATCAGTTGAGTTTATTTGCAATATAATTTGTTTAGGATGAAGCATGGGAAGTTGATGTGAAACATTCTTTTGTTTCTCTTCCAGAAATTTAATGAGGGTCACAGAAATTTAACATGGAACATAAAAGCGCTCCAGAACCTTCCTATTGACTGCTGCCATCATTTTACATGGTGACTCATCTATCCCTGCTTCATTCCCATGGGAGCCCTTGCTGGCATGTTTGTAGCCCCCTTAATCTTTAGTTTTGGGCAGCTCTTTTATTTGAACTGTGAGCCCTCTTGCTGTGGCCCAACACCCAGGTCACTCAGGTACCCTGCCTGCCTCACACTTTTTCACTCTCCCCTCCCTAATCCCTCAGACACACCAGCGGTTTCATGGAGCACTCTTTTCTCCTCACTAGCTTTGGGCTGCCTTGGGCTAACTAGGATAATGACCCACATTCCATTATTTTTCTCACCTTCTTCTCTCTTTCTCACCACTTTGCCCTGTAACATGTGTGTGCGCTCTCCCTTATTCATTTGCTCACTAAACATTAAGCATAACACAAAACCAGTTTATTTGAACAAATGAAAAGATAAGAAGCATTCAGTTGCTGGCTTAGAAACAGCTGCAGTACTCCTACACCAGGCTGAGGTAACTTTGCTAGCCTCCATGACTGATTCTGACGTGTTCTTAAGATGTTTCCCCTTTTCTTCTGCAAAGAAGAATGGCTGTTCCACAGCCTGCCATGGCTCTCAGCCCCTTGCGACATTCTGAGAGCTGTGCCTTGGCTCTGCCCTCTAATGGAGTGAGAGGTGAAACTCCTCCTGTCCATCACAGTTACCCTCAAAAAATACGTTTGGTGCTGACACTGTGTGCACCTAGCTCATCCTTAAGACATTTTGAAAATGGATCTGTCAAAGGAAAGGCAAAGAGGCTTAAAGAAGCAACAGTGAAGCAGTGCATTCAGGGTTTTTTCAGTGTCTCTTGTCTCTGGAAACACACCAACAGGCTTAGAAGAAGATTCTGTATGTTCTCAGGTGGTTCAGAACCCACAAATTTCAAAACCAATGAAGAGAGTCCCTCTGAGTTTAAAATATCAGCAGACCATCTCATCTCTGTCACCCTTCATTATGTGAACAGAGATCCTGCAAAACAGCCTTCCACAATTGAAATACAAAATTTCTGCATCAGTAGAAAGAGTGAATATTTTCAGAATATTTATGGAAAACATGAAGCTTAGCATGAGTATATTCATAAATAACTGTCATCTCCACATTTGTGTGAGTATTAGAAAATTGGGGAAAACATTATCTGAAGTGGAACTATACTTTTCTGTTCTGGCTGAGAACTTCTTTCACACATCCAAATGAAAGTGATAACAACTTTATGAAGGATTTTGGAAAATGGAAACAAATATGAAGAAAAAAAAGCAGGGACCATAAAAACCTCATTCCATAACAAAACTGTACTGTAGCCTGGATTTTAAGAAAGAACACAATGGAGGACCATTGTCACAGCCAAGTGTGTGAAGAAATCAAATACTGGAAAGAAATACTGAAGGGCATTGTTGTTGTGATCTTTGTTGCAAAAAGACTTCCATTCTATGGCAGCAAATTGGCACCCAGACTTTGGGATCAACCCAAAATGTAAATTACCTTGGAACATTGGAATTCATTGTCAAGTTTGATTCTTTTCTTGCGCAGCACTAAGGGAAATCATGGAAATAAAAGTCATACCTTCAGTTCCTTCATAGCTATGTAATGAACTGGTTGAGCTAATGGGCAATCAAGTTCATATGAAAAACATTTGGGAGGCTAAAGAGGCAAAGCACATTTCCCATATTGTTGATTCTACATCAGATTATTTCTCTCACAGGTCAGATATGTGTTGATTTTTTTGGTACTGGCTGAATGAAGATGTGAAGCAGTGGTTTTTGTGCTTTGTGCCTGCCGATTGCCACACTGGAGGAAATTCATGTGAAACGGTCAATGTCTTTCTTCAGAAACGTGATACTAACATCAGTAATTGCAGGGCACAGACTTATGATACTACAAGGAATTTAAGTGGTCAGTATCAAAAGATACAATCTCCCGTTATAATCATGCTGTTTTTCTGCCTTGTTCAAGCTGTTCTCTGAGCCTTAGTTGGGCAAAGCAGTACGAATGCAGTGAAGTTGTTCTCATTTCCTGATGCTTTGTATGTTTTCTTTTCAGGAACTGTTCAGGATATGCTTTGTCTCCAGGCTTGAAAATACTCAAGACAATATTGATCCCTGGTCCAAAAGAAGGAATATACCAAAGATCAACTTGAAAAAGCTGTTAGATAGTTCTCTAAAAAAGATGCCGCACAAACTCTTTCACCTACAATAACTATATTTTGAAACCTTATCAAAGTTTGCTGATGATTCCAAAGAGAAAACAGAGGATGAGTGAGCAGGAAACCCTGTGATTAAAAACAACAACTCTAAAAACTTTTAAAATTTATTTTATGCCACTATTCTGGCATAAAGTCCTTCACAGATCTGACTGGGTCAACAGCATGCTGAATGTTGTACTGCGGGGGGGGGGGGGGAATGGGAAAGATTATTTAAATAGGGAAGCTAAGGGTGATAAAACTTGGAGAAAAAGGGTTTTCTTAACTAGAAGAGAAACAACGATTAGAACAAAGAGCAAGAGGATGTAATAGACGATAACAAATGGCTCGAGGTAAAGTGATTGGCGGTCAAAAGAAGACTGGGGAAAATGGCGGGCACTCTGCCCTTTATAGCACCGTGGCGGACGGTGCGGAGTTCCCACCAAAATCCGTTGAAGCTTTGGTATTCCACCCGCTGCAGGCACTGCGCAGGCGCAGCACCCATTATGTGTGATGCACAGAGACCACGAAGAAGAATGGGCTTGTTTCATCATCACCTTTATCCATTATAGGTGAAACACCTTTGAAACAATTGAGAAGCAAAACAAACAAAGAAAGGGAATAATCAAATGGAATTCACTTAATTCAGATTGAAGATCAATAGCTTGAGGTCACAAATCAGTTTTCCAAGATGGAAAAAGTGGCTGCAATCCTATATAAACTCCATGGAAATGAATCCTTTTGAGGGCATGTTTAGATTCAAGATAAACTTAAAAACATGTACTCTTGCTAAACATTGTTACTATCCCAAAAAATTTGTATTAATCTGTTATTGCAGGGCTGTTCAAAAGGGACTTATAGCAAACCAAACAAAAACTTAATCTAGGAACAATGACAATTGTATTAGATTTTTTTATATTCTTTGTAATAAATATAGATAAATCAGAAAGTTATGCTTTTCTTTTTCTTTCTCCCTACTATTGCATTTAATAAATATTTTCCATAAAAATGTTTATTTCAATGTAATGTTACTGATTTGATTCCCATTCTAATCATTGCCAGATCAGCTTTAGATTCCTGTAGGTTCCAAATATTTTCTTGATTGACTTAAACTCATACAATTCTTCTGCATGAATGAGAACACAGAAAGAATACAGAGGCTCACATTTGGGCATGAACCTTTTCCCGTATCAGAATTTAGTCTACCATCCAAGAATCATATTGTCTGGTGGCTATAAATCCCATGTTTGAGTATTCAGCAATATCCCGAAATAACTTGAATCTTTTTCCATTATTAGATTTTGTTTTCCTGCTGGCTATGACCACCAGGGAAGTTGATGAAACTTTATCAAATATATTTCTAAATCTTGTGCCCATATGAATTTCAACATGATACAGTGATCTACTTAGGAACTGGGAAGGACTATGACTACAAGCAACTTTTGCTCTTACTGGTACCCATAAACATAAAACTCATGCTATTAGTAACTAAGTCTTAGAAGAGGCATTTCAACCTTTCAAAATAGGGGAAAAACATGCAAAACCTGGCAAATGGACAAAGGATTAGTGGAGGAGGGGGAAGGATGCATGGCCATCTAGAAGGCCACACTGAGATATCCAGATGGACCAGATTTGGCCTATGAGCTTAGGTTCATCATCCATCCAAATTCATAAAAATAGCCTCACACACTTCCTTGGCCACTTACATGAAAAAGGGTCACCTGCCTGCTGAACGGGTCCTCAGACAGGAAGTAGGCCCTGGAGGTGGGATTACAAACCAGACTTGGGTGCTTCTGGGGTTTCACATAGTCAGTGCAATAAGAGGGAGACTGGGAGCTTGAACCTTTGAGATCTTTTATCTCAGACACTCCCCGAACAATCCCATGCTGTGTTATATGCTCAGTGATCAGTGCTGTATTTGTAACTTGCATTAAACAAAAATATGCACCATGATTCTGCATTTTCTTTACACATTCTGCATCTTCTATATCTAAATCTGTAGGTATTTTGGTCACCGAATGTGGGTTTCCTGTTCATTGTTTACCACATGTGGCATTCGATTTATTTCAGAGCAGAATCACAGCAGCAGTCCAGAGCCTTCCAAATTTCAACATGACCTAGTGGCATTGTTCTTCTAACATCTGTTAAACATCAGCATCTGGTGAATTAAATTATATTTGCTCCAAATTATTTAATGATATTTTACCACCAATGCCACCAATCCTGATCAAAAGTAGACTAATGTGAAGAGAACAGTGTAATGAAGGGAAAATAATACAGCAAAGAGGTCCTGCCTATCTTTCAACATATACCCATCTTGATTCAAACCAGAGATCTGCTAAGAGGAGAATGACAAAGCTTTTGAAAAGTGAATACTATATTATCTTATTGCTTTTGCATGCATGCGTGTGCACATGCTCCTTTGAAAACTTCTACACGTCATCCTTCCACCATATTCTCCAGCAGCTGAACTGGGGTTATGCAAACAATACAAGAGCATTGTTCATAGAGGACCGCTCCATTCAACAGATGGAGATGCTTTAAACTAGAACTATTATCTTCAAATTACTGCACATTGGCTTTTTTGGCAGCTTTCTCCACTGGACAACAGTCTGGTGAGTATATCAATTATGATGTGAACTTTTGTTCCTCTGCACCATATACCCAGAGCTAAGCTCATCAGGACAGCAGATGCAATGTCTAAGAATCAGGCGACTCCTAAAGACAACATTTTATTACTTCATCTGGCCTTGCCAGAATCCAGCTGGAGAAAGATTTCAACTTCTCCCTTGTGTTTATGCTATTTTTATTGAAAACTTAGAGGTCAATAAATAACCACAGGTCCTTTGTTAACTCCATTCCCTTGATGGCTGAAAACTGAGCAACAACACAGGTAATCCTCAGATACATTTCCAGTAGAATGTTACAGTAAGAAGCCACCAATCCTTTAATAATTTGAATACCTGAGGACAACATATACCACTTAATCAAAAGCATTTGCCAATAAATTGCTTTGCATGGCATGCTTACTGCTTACATTTCCCCAGGGGTTTCCTTGATCTGTCAAGAGGCTTGGGTAGCTATTCAGTATTGCAAAGGGAGCAGAAAACCTCAGTGGTTGCAAACTCTTGGAATAAAAAATGCTGGTAACTGGATGAGGTCCAGGGACCAAGCTGACACAAAACACTAATCTCCAGTGTACAATAAGTGCACGTGCTTACAAAACTCCTTCCAGCTATGTATCATACCAGCTTACAACACAAGCGGAATGAGGAAATAGCCTACACACAGGGGAGATAACTCTAAAAAGTGAGCGAATCCACAGACTGCAATTCAAGGCTCATGTATGCACACAGGAGCAGTGTCAAGGGCAGGAGAGATCAGCAAAAGCCTTCCTACCCATGAGTTGCTCTTCCTCCTCCACTTGCCCACTGGCTCTCTGTCTGTCAAGCAAGCAAACAAGCAGAAGCAATGATGAGAAAAAGGAGAAGCAACAGGAACAGAGAGGTCCTCTCATTCCTGCCCAGCCTTTCCCATGGCCATGCTGGCTGGGAATGATGGGACTGACAGTCCAACATGTTCACAAGGGACCAGGGTGGGAGAAAGCGTAATTCGTGTATATAATGGATTTGATTATGCCACATATACCATTAAATTATTAAAAATTGACCTCTGCTGATTAAAGGATTAAGGACCATAATATTCTTTTCTGACATCAAAGCACAATCCAGTTAATCCCAGTGTTAGCACCAGCTTTAAAAGTTCTGCCTAAATCCTCTCTGAGATTGAGTTGTTTCCATAGGAAGCCAAATTCATTCACAGTATAGGCACATACCTATGTAGAGAAGCAAGGAGCAAGGACAAGTCAATCCCATTACCTTCACAATGTTCTTTGCTATTCCTCTTCCAGCCATGACAGCAGTCAAGCTTGGAACCGTAGCGACACACCCCGGGCTGATTCAGACTTAGGAGCGACCTGCCACCTCTTGAGCTGTGCATAAAACAGAGCATTAACTAGCTGAGGCATTAGCAGAGCCCCAGGCAGATCCAGCCATCTTACAGATGTTGTATGTGACCACTGACTTGGCCCCACTGGGATCAATTGCAGTAATCCCATCAATGAGGAAGAAACTGAACTTCTGCTCTCTTGAGGTCACTGCAGCCTTCGTAAGTGCACAGCTTGGCTGATGTCAGAACAGCTGACTTCACACCCAGCAGGCAGTTGATTCCTCTTTCCTTCTTTTGCCCAGGTTCAACTGGTGCCCCTTCCTGGAGACAGTAGATGAGGCCACAGTGATCTAAATGTCAACTGCTGCAGTGTGCTGCACAAAAGATTGCTGCTGAAGAGTGTTTGGAAACTGTAATTAGTAAAAAAAAAAAAATGCAGCGACCAGATCACTTTCCAGCCCTTGCCCTATGAAATCTATCGAAGAAACACAGTAGAATTAAAACACTGTGATTACAAAACCATATATATCAATATTGACCATTGCTTGCTGTCTTTGCCGTTTGCAGCTGGAAATTCTCATGTGAATTTCTATATAACAATTCAGAGAATGCTCATAGAAAACCATCAAGGAAATTACATGGCAGTTGAAAGGGCTGTAAAATACTTATTAATAAATAAAATAATGCAGAAGGCAAACATCACATAGAACATTACAAGGCTTTGTGCTGCTGTGCAATCTCATTCAGTGGCAGCACTATTTAGTGGGCTTACCCATGATGAGCTACATTTTTACCTACAGGGGATGCAGAGTGCATCTGTTTCCCTGCAGGTTAAAGGGTAATGTGGAGGGCGATGTTGAGCTGAGAAAAAACTAGGAGAAAAGGCATTAAGCAGCCTCTCCTACCCATCTTTCCTCAAACTCACAGGCCGCCCTGGCAGCTTTTTTAAAGGAAAAAATGAAGAAGCTCGGAACCCCATGTGATGTGTTCGGTCCATAGTTTCTTTTCTCCATTGAATACTTACAACTGAAAATCATCTTATGGACTTTTATGAACTGTATATGAACTTTCATAAAGGTAAAATGAGAATGTTACACTGAAACTACAGTGTGTCTCCGGAGAGAATCATGATTGATTCCACCACAAATCCAGCAAGTAAATCTTCCCCACGACTAACAGATGTAACAGAAGTAAATTATTTTTCTACAAAGAAGTTCCTACATAGTTTGGATATTCTACTTGGATCTAAAAATCTCACACTAAGGGACACTGCATGATATGGCAATGGCCAGTTCACCAAAGAGTACAGTCCTTCACCCCTGAATGGATGCTGTGCAGAAGCAACACTCGACAGATTGTGCTCAAGGTAGTTACTGTAGGTTCACGAATGGTAATGTGATGACAACACAGAGTACACATTGACTGTGTGTTGAATGTGTGTTGTTGAATTGTAGGTTGTTCAGTCATAGGCTGTCATTATGTGCAAACCCTGCACTATGGTTTAACTATAGTTTCCAACCCAATATCAAACCTTGGGCTTTTCTTCCTAGGTTGTTCACAGTTAGCAACCCATAGTTAAACCATACTGTAGACTTTATATGTAACAACAATGCACAATTCAACAACAATCTGTACTCAAATCCAAAGTCAACCTATATTATGGGTTGTTATTACATGTGAACTAGGTCATAGAACAAAAGCAAAAGAATTTCTCCTCCCAAAATAATTCCTTTTCTTCTTCACACTTGTGTTTTATTATTTTGAAACTTAAGTGACATAGGTGAATTGGAACTCCATTACTGATTTGAAATTCCATGATTAGTTACACTTGGTGCTTCATGGTGTTAAAATAGATGCTCAGAACCTCAAAACATTAACAGCTTCTATTCAAATCACCACTAATACTCAGCATTAAGTGTAAGTCCATTGGCTGAGATCCAAGCTAGTATTGTATAGATGTGCAAAGGCTGGGGATATTGACTGGTTGTGCATATTTTAGTTTCTGAAGAGCATTATGCCATGTAATTTATTTTTTCAATGTTGCCTCACTTGCAAAAGGGATTTGCTATGTGATGTAGGTGATGGGGCAGAGGGAGCACTGTTTCAGAAGTTTAAGCTCAAAGATAACTTAGGTCTGGAACTAGCATGGCTTTTTCTATTCCTGCCATGAAACACTGGAAATCTGTATGATCCTATAATTACCAGGAAGCAAGAAACTATTTTACTCAGTGCGCCTTACTTCAAAGTAAAGAAAGTTTATGATTAAGCTGTCATAATAAACCCTTTAAACCAGAAATGATTTTGGTATATAAAAGACAATGAAAATGAGAAAGAGCTGCAATATTGTGCTTCCAGATACTGCTGGTAAACATATTTATTGCATTAACTCCCTAAAAGTTTCCCAGAAAGAAAGAAAAAACATGGCCAGCTCAAAGATTCTCTCACACAAAAAAATGGCTGCTACTTAAAAAGAAACCTGTGATTGATTTTCTCTCTAAAATTAAAAACAAAATCACATGTCCACAGAAATAGTTCTATTCTTGCTTGAATGTATTCAGAAAGGTAAGGTTCAAAGATATGAAATCATAAATAAAAATTTATATCTAGCAAGACATGTCTTTGTTGTGAGAGAAGGAGGTGGTGGTCAACTGAAGAGAAAGAAGTATTTTGAAGAGGCAAAACATAGTAACAAAAGCATAAGAAAAGCAATGAGTCCCAAGGTCCATCCTGGCCAGCACTCTGTACACATGGTGGCCAACCAGCTGCCCACAGGATGCCTCAAGCAGGAGGGTGCAAGAACTCTCCTGCCCAAGCTCCGCAACAACTGGGGTATGTAGGCACACTGCCTCTGGTAAAGGAGGCAGCACATAGCCAGCAAGGCCAGTAGTCGCTGACAGCTCTCCCTCATGAATCTGTCCAATCCCCCTTTAAAGCCATCCAGATTGGTGGCCGCCACCACTTCCCCTGGCAGCAAATCCCATAGTTTAACTATAAGAAGAAGTACTTCATTTTATCTGTCTGAAACCTCCCAGCAATCAGCGTCATGGGATGACTCATGGGTAATGGAAGAAGGAATAAACTGTCTCTCTTTCTCCACACTGAGCATTATTTTAAGCACCTCTATCATGTCTCCCCTTGCCTTTTTTCTAAGGTGGGCAGTCCCAGTTGTAGCCACTCCTCACAGGGGATCTGCCCCTGTCCCTGATTATTTTAATGCCCTTCTCTGTACCCTTTCCAACTCAATGATGTTATTTTTTGGGTAAGGTGACCAGAACTGAACACAGTATCCCAAATGCAGTCGCTCTGAAGATCTGTATAAGGGAAGTCCGATTCTGGCAGTTCTGTTTTCTATTCTGCTCCTAGCACGGAGTTTGCCTTCTTCACAGAAGCTGAGCACAGGGCTGACATTTTTACTGGGCTGTCCAACAGTACCCCAAGATCCCTTTCTTGCTCAAGTCACTATTAGCTCAGATCCCCTCCTGAAGTTGGGAATTTTTGTCCCAACATGCACTGCCCTACACCTGCTTATATTGAACTGCATTTGCCATGTTGATGCTCATTCTCCCAGCTTGGAGAGAGAGACCCCTTTGGAGAAATAAGCACATCAGCAGAGAGAAAAGAACCTGACTATTTCCCACTTGTGTATTCTAAGTATAGACCAGGTTTACCGATCAACTCCAAAACAGAGTCCATCACTAGGTTTGTGAGTTGCAGCGGTGCAGTTACATAATTTGAGACTCTTGGCTTAATCGTCTTACCAGCAATGAGGGAAGAAGGCTCATTAGATGATGTGTATTATTTCAAAATGTGTAGTCCCACTGCATTTGGGGACTGGCCTGCTCAGTCTGCTGAGCTGGGCCCTGGACGTCTGCCCCAAGGTCCTAACTTGGTACCACTGATGGTTTGCCAAGCATGCTAACTAAACCTGGTAGGCGCTTTTTACGTTTATAGTAACACAGTCCTGGCCTGGTCCTGAACTCTTCACAGAAGCTTGATAAACAGCAATTAGTAGATGATAATCTTGTACCACTAAGAGCAGATCCCAAAAGATTATTAGTTTTTTCTGGGAGAACAAAGTTTATTTATTGATTGCCATTTATCTCCTATTACTTTCTTTCTACATTTCCTGTGTTTCTGTTTAGCTTTCCCTTTAGCTGTACTAGCTTCACTTCTTCCAATCTGATTCTAATTTTGTTATTTCCTGCCCATATTTCTAACCATCCTCACATTCTCATTTGTTTTTTAGTTTTTTTGTCCTCCGAGTCCAAAATATTTTTGGAAAAAAAAAAGTAGTGTGCAATTCTATATATAGCCACTCAGAAGTTCAGTTAGACTTGGGGTTTATCTAATGAAGCATTTATTGTGTGCTCATGACTCCTCTCCATCATGGAAGTTGGAAGGTATTTTTCAGTGTGCTGCCAATTTACAGGGTCTCTACCTGTAGCTGTTTTCTAGCCATTTTTGCAGCTTCTTTTTTATTTTATACTGCTATTTTCTTGGATGCTGTCATTATTTGTTACAAGAGCCTAATTAATTGTGAAATTGCATTCCCTTCCACAGTGACACCTTGGTTTGCAAAAGGACCTTACAGAAAGACTGAAAGGAAAACCCATGGGATAAAAACCCATATGAAGAATGTTGCAATCTTTCCTGCACCATTTTTTTTAGAAGTGGGGAGAAGTAACTTGGTAAAGCGCCAGGTTAAATGCATAATGTAGAAAAGCTTGAGAGTGTTCCTTGATCTGGAGCTGTCTCTGGGATCCCAGGTGACATCTGTGGCAAGGAGTGCTTTCTTTCAGCTAAGGCTGGTTCATCAGCTGCATCCTTACCTGGACAGGCAAGCCCTAGCAAAAAACTAACTCATGCACTGGTAACCTCCTGTTTAGACTATTGTAACATGCTCTTTACATGGATTATTTAACACGCTGCCCTTGAAGACAGTTTGGAAACTGCAACTGGTTCAAAATAGAGCTGCCAGATTGCTGACTGGGACCAGTAGACAAGAACATACAGTGCTGGTCCTATATTAGCTACACTGGCTACCAGCTGAG